CCATGCCCGCCACTGCTCGGTTGTCCGACCTCACCCCTTACCCTTCCTTTGAAAGGAGTGAGAAGCTTTTAGGCTGCTGGACATGGAGGGAGATGCTGACAAATCCCCAAGCCTGCGAGAAAGCCTGCTCTACAGAGGCAACAGGAGTGAGGCTCCTGGAGGCCAGGACACCTGTGGACTCAGTTTGGCTGGCTCGGGGCTCTCAGGGGCTGCTGCTCCTCGTGCTTCTCCAGGCCCCAGGAGGTGACTTCTGGTGAACCTCCAGAGGGGTGGGGAGGGGCTTCCCAGTTCTGCTCATTCCCTGCTCCCCTTGCTGAGCTCGGGGAACGCCAGGGAAAACCCCTTGGTGCTGGGAGCCAAACCAGACAGCCTGTGGGCGTTTCCTCTTTACACAGTTGCAGCAGGTCAGAGGTCAGTGGGTCTCTGAGATGATATTACCCAACAGCTCATTTTCTGCATTAGATGACCCAGGCCAGGAGGGAAAGGGTCTTGTCCCCACATCGCCAGGGACAAAGACTGAATTAGCCTCCATCACTGAAGGAAGTTGGTCTGAGATTTTGCTGTGCCTGTTAATGGTGAACATAATTTTGGGGCTGCCTACTTGGACCCATGCACAGACTCATCCACTGTGTGTTATGTGTGTGTGTGCACACACATGTATGTTTGTCTGTAATTTCCTCTGAATTCACAAGCCAGGCCGATTTTGTTGCAAGGTATGTTGTCCTTCAGAGTGAGAATAGAGAGAGGAATGAACAATTTTACTGGTGAAAATGCTTGTTGTGCTGGCCAGAGAAAGTATATTTCTCTGGTTTATTTTGTGTGGCGTTGCCTAGGATGGCATCGGGGCCGAGTGATACGATCTTAGAAATAATGTGACCCAGGCTGGCATCTCTCGTCTACAGTCCGGGGTGCGCTGGGCTGCTGCCCCGCCTCCTCTCCTCACCGACAGCAGCATTTGGGGCCCTTCCACAGTGCACTCACACTCAGAGCCTAGGCCTCCATCCTGGAACCCTTCCCAGAGACCCCAGTGCCTGGAATAGACCACAGAGCAGAGGCTGTGAGCTTCCCCAGCTTTTCAGCAGGTAAAGTGCAGTGCAAGCCAGCATCCCCTTAAAGGCATCAGGCTTGTCCTAATGCCTGGTTTCACCCAGATTCACAGAAAATAGTTTTTAAGTTTATATTTAAAAACATAAAAACTTCCTCGACAGAGCTCTGAAAATTCCCTGGAGTGTGTGAGGTAGAAGGACTGACAGCGTCACCACATGCAGACGGTCCCTGCTTGCTTCTGCAGGAGGGTCTGGTGCAGGCAGGTGACTTGGTGGGCTCCGGGAGTCTCTCTGCTTGGCCTGGCCACTTGTCAGCCTTCAACACCGGGTCCCCGCTGAAGCAGACACAATGCAGTGGGTTAGGGAGACAGGCATGTGTTCCAGTCATTTGCCTGTGGCTTTACTTACTTGGGTTTCTACAATTCTTTCTGTTTGGACTTTTATAAAGTCTAAACGATCACCTTATCAGCTTGAATTTTGTGCTGTCTCCATCCTGGGCTGATCTGTGGTAAGTGGTCGGGCTCTATGTCGTGTTTCTCGGGGTTAATCGAGGTCATTAGGACAGCGAACCGGTGCTGATGGATAAGGGGCTTGCTTGGCCTTTGGGACTTTTCAGTTTGTGGCATTTTAAGTATAACCCCCCGTACATACCAGCATATACCAGCATCAGAGTGTACACCAGCCTATTCAAGTGTGTGCCCGAGCTGCAGGGCGGGTGGCACGTGGGAAGGGTGCTGAGGGGAAGCAGGAGAGCTTTCTCACGCTGAGCTGTGTGCCTGAGGCTGCTGGTCGCCGCTCTCATCTGTGTAATCACAGAGTTTGTGCATGTAATCTCAGGAGCCCCTGTCCTCCTTTTTAAAACAGAGGAGATCATACTGGGGTTGAGTGAAGGGAGACCCGTATCAATGAATTAACATTGAAAAAAATGAATGTCGAGCGCAAGTGAAGGGTGAAACACTTTAATGTGCGTACAGGCTCCCGCTCATGCCCACGGGGCCGGGGCCGGGTGTGTTCCGTGCTTCCAGAGGAGGAAATGCGTCCTGAGGCAGGGACGGGGGTGGGGGCGGGGGGCCGGAGCGGACAGAAAGGCTGCCAGGGCCCCAGCCCGAGCCTGGATCCTCTGCTCAGAATCAGGAACTGGACCAAGGTCCATGTCCAGGACCAAATGAGGTCACCCCATTCTAGCATAGTCACCGTCCTCTCCCTCTCTCCCTCCACCCGCCTCAGCCCTGGCGACATCCTTCTGGAATAGACTCATTTATTATGTCTCTGTAGGTGTCAGATACTTGTAACGGAAAAGTTGCTGTCCCCACAACAGGCTAAGTTAGAGAGAAATTGCCGAGTGCAGGGCAGGAGAAGTGCCAACCAAGAGTAGCCGGCAAGTGTGGGACACTTCACACCAGAGGCCTCCGTGCAGTGATGGAGGTGGTCGGGGGAGCGACACCGGACTTGGGCCACACGGGGAGTGTTGCTTTGCATCCAGAGAGCCGCGCGAGAGCTTTGCCAAGATGACAGAGCTGCCGTTCGTGATTGCCTGGCACTGAGGACCCATCCGGGGTAACCCACGATGAGGGGACCCACTCCAGCCCTGAGATGTACGTACCCCACATTTTTCAGATGGGAACGTGGAGCCTTGGAGAACTCAGGTCACAAACATGCAGTTAAGGTTAGATCTGGCCGACCCGAGAGCCTGCTCTCAGCCACCATCCCCTCCACATGAAGGATGGAGGCAGGAGGACTTCTCTCCAGGGAAGCCCTGGAGCTGGGCCCCCCAGTTAGTGTCTCTGTGCTGCTTCGGAGGGAGTTTGGCTTTTTTTCTTCTCTTTCCCCCACTTAGTCTAGAGAGGAACTCGTGCCTTTCATCCACTCCTAGCTGGCGCCCAGCCAGAAATGCAAAGGGACACCCCCTCCCCACAGGCAGTATGCACTGTAATCTGCTTCAGTCGTACTGTTTGAAAATGAAGCTTTAGAAATGAAATGCAGCAACTGTATTTGCTCACATCATGGGACATGGCCCCAGAGAATAACTAGCCACAAGACTCAGCCTGTTCAGGAGATGTTTGCTCTTTTTGAAATAATAACTAAAGTTACGATATGCGTAATACCAGAACCTTGAAGGAGTCTACTGTGAGAGACGGAAGTTTTGAGCGTGTGGAGTTGGCATGATCAGGACACTAATGCTGGGAGTCAGGACCCAACTGGGCCTGAGGACCCCACAGTCCCCACCCCGAGTCATAGTGCTCACACCTGGCCTCAGACCACCAGGAAGAGCTGCCGCAGAGATGGCTCGTGGTCATGTTTATAAGGAGCTCCCACTGTGATGTTCTTTGTCTTGTTCTTGAAAAGAAGACTGGCCCCATGGGAAGAACCCATAACAATGAACTTTGTTGAATTTTATGAATTTTTAGTCTCTCGCTGAAGCCAAGGCATGGGACAGTCGTGGGACAAATTGCAGGAGCATCTTAGATTCTCTCTCCCTCTCTCTCTCTGGAACTTTCTGTTAAAGGTTTTTTCATGATTGGATTGTTGTGGAGTGTTTTCTTTTTTTTGGGGGGGGGGGGTTGGTTTGTTTTGTCTTTATTTTTGCATGGAGTTGTGAGAATGTAAATCAAAGTTTGTAGTTGCTTTCTTTCGACTTACCTAAGAAAGAAAAAGGTTATTCCACGAGAATACCGGTTGTGTGCTGTGGGTCTAGAATTCTGCCCATGTTGCCTTTCCTTTGAAACCTTGGCCTACACGTTGCTGGACGTGGCTATCGAGACTCCCACCCAGCAGACTCCGTTTCCTGGGTGCTCACAAAAGGAGCCGGATCTTCTCTGTCGCTCTCAGAACAGATGTTTCTCAGACCTCTGGGCCCTTTGAGTCAGGTCCCCTTCACCCATCCTTGTCATTCACACCATGTCTGTTGCCCGGGCAGGGTCAGCAGCTGCGTACTACACGTTTCAGATTCCTTGTCCAGCCCCCCGAGCGGGGGGGGGGGGGTAAGGGGGAGTCTATATTTCTGTATTTCACAGTTAATTAAATCCAGCTGGGGCTTGCCTCTCCCCCTGGCCCTCCAGGGCAGCCAGTGCCGTGCCCCTCTGGGTGCCCGCACCTCCTTCACCTGGGCTCCAGCACGTGCTCGTGATGTTTATGGGGCTGAATCCAGTGGATGCAAACAAACAACCAAGTGCCAGATGGTGGCTCGGGTGGGTCCCTGGGCCTCCCGACACCAGTGGGTGCATTTCCACATTTCCTCCGCTTCTGCTCAGGACCCTGCTGTGGCGGAGTGAGGCATGCCCAGGGACACTGGGCTGGGACCACAGTCAGCTCTGCCCTGGTCACGGGTGGGAGGAGACCTCCCTAGTGCTCTCGTCCGGCTTTGGTGGTGAGAGCCTCTACATAATGGCTTCACAAGCTCAGCACGTCTTAGAGATCAGAGAAGTTAACTACAACTGAGGAGGGTTTTAAACTGTTCAAAAGATTTTGTGCCTGGTACCTCCTGTACCCCTCCACCCACAGCTCCTCCCCTCGGATATATTTAAAATAAGAATGTGTTCATGACGTATTGGTCTATCCACAGGTTTTCTAGAGTCCACCTGCCGGGGCAGCAAGGTGTCCTGAGATGTCTTGGTGGCCTCGGTGCAAACCTGGAAACCAGGAGAATAAGCTGGTACCAAGCGCAGGGCAGGGTCCTGTTTGGTCCGTAGGCTGCTCTTCTCGGGAAACGTCTGGATGGACAGAATTTCTTCCTGATGGGGCCCTGGGCTATCTGGACAGGGCGTGGCAGCAGAGGCTCCCCTGCGTGGAGGTGCTGGCTTCTCAGCGCTTGTGCTGGTCCAGCGCCCAAGGGCCCTTCATTGCCCTCCTCCCAGGTTCCCAGAGGGCCTGCTGGTGGCGGATCTCACACCGGCCCCTCCGGGGCGTGCAGCGCCTCCTGTGCGCTCTCTGAAGCATTTCCTTCCCCCTCCACAGCCAGCATGCCAACCAGCGAGACGGAGTCTGTGAACACGGAGAACGTAAGTGGCGAAGGCGAGAACCAAGGCTGCTGGGGAACTCTCTGGTGAGTGTGGAGGCAGCTTACCCTCCTGGCTTCCGCCATCATCATCATCTCAGGGAAGCAAATATGTGGAAGACACCCCAAATTTCCATGAAGCCTGGGGGCCATAGCCTCAGGGGCAGGAGGGGCGGGTGGGCTCACCCTGGGCCCCTTGGCCATCCTCCTACCCTGGGCCCCTCCCTGCCTCCTCCTGCAGAGCAGCCATCCTGCTGAGCACCTGCGGCAGGGTGTGCCCGGTAACGCACTGTCCACTGTGTCCACTAGGTGCTGGTGGAAAAGAAGCGACGCGGCCCAGGCCGGGCCCTCTGGGTGCCTGCGGTGGGGGTAAAGCCCGATTCTCCTCCTGGGCTGGTGCTGGCATCAGTGCTTTGGAGAAGAGCTTGTATGGCAGAGTGGCTGATGAGAATATTTAAGTTTCCCTTCGCTCCTGGGTTCTCTCAATCTTATGCACAGCAGCTGGATGGCCAGACCCTGTCCTATGCTTACAGCACTTTTTCTGGGGAGCCCTGCACCACCCCCTCCTAACAGTGGAGGGCGCCATCCCATTAACCCCCATTGGCTTTTTACTAGAGGATTTGGACTGCAGCAGTGGGGGGACCAGCAGGGTGGAATGTGCAGAGTGCAGCCTGCTTTGGGGGGCGCCCATGCAGCTTTGTTTTGTGTGCTTCCATCTGGTATCTTTTAGGTCTTATCTCTGCAAAATGCAGGTGTTGTTTTTAAGAGAATTCGATCTCCTGGGCAGTGCTGCGTAAAAATGATGTGTATGGGCAGGATACTCAGCAGTTTACAAAGTGAATTTGCCTCCTTTCTCTTGCTCTGCCCTCCCTACCACAATGGAAAGTAGACGGGAAATGGGTTTGTCCTCCCCATTTGACAGATGCGAACACAGAGGCTCAAAAAGGTGTGCCGCTCGCCCAGACTCACGCAGTTAGTGCATAGCAGGGCCAGGACTCCTAGTCCAGTGCTCCATTTGCTAGAGCAGCAGCACATGCTGCTGTTGAGATGAGTGGCTGAGTTGCAGGCAGGAGAGACCCCCGGGCTTCAGTTTGGGGAACACAGGTGGGGGAGGGAAAGACCCCTAGAGTCACTGCCTGTGCCATGACTGCTCACAGCATCTGGCTAAGAGCCTCCTCTTGCCAGGGCTTGGGCAGGTGCTCAGCCTGGCCTGCCTGGACCTGCAGCACCTCGCTACTGCTCCGCACATACTCCAGCTAGCCCGCTGCGGGCACCGGGGGTGCTGAGCCAGGCTGCTGTGCATGGCTCTTCCGATAGCTCAGCTGACATGGTGGGGGAGCATATGCTTAAGCCTTCCTAATAGGAATGATGTTCTTTTTGTCTTTCTTTCAGTCAAGCCATCTCAAAATCCAAGCTCAGGTCAGTATCTTATTTCCATTTTTCTTAAGCATGTGTGTTGGTTGTTCTCTTTAACTTGTGAAGTTTGCATGGAGTTGCTCCAGACTTGCATTTGCTCTTTGGGCTGCAGTTTTCATATAGAGGATCAATCTGCCCAGGAAACATTAAGCACATTAAGCACCCGTCTTGGAGGGCAGTGTAGTTACTGTCGTAGGTGCTGAGGTTCTTGCCCCAACACAAACCAACAAGATGCAACAATTTCTTGCCACTAATCAACCCTTCATATCCCCCCCTAGAGTCATTTCTCCAGGAGAAATACTTCTTGTCACTTTTCTGCTTAAAAGTTTTTCAACCCTGGCCAGTTTTTTCCAGTGGTCAGAGCATCAGTCCACAAACTGAAGGGTAGTGGGTTCGATTCTGGTTAGGGGCATGTACTTTGGTTGCAGGCTCAATCCCCAGCCCCGTCACGGCATGTGTGGGAGGCAACCAGTCGATGTGTCTCTCTCACCTTGATGTTTCTCTCCCTCTGTCTCTACCCCTCCTCTACTTTCTCTAAAAATCATTGTAAAAAATATCCTTGGGTGAGAATTAACTCCCCCACGACCCCAAAAAAAGTTTTTCATAGAAGGAGGTTCAAAAGGTTTTCTTAGGTGCTAGTCATGTTCTGTTTCTTGGGCTATGACATGGTCAGTTGGTGAATTTGTATATTCTTCCATATAAATGTTCTTTTTCAATTTAAAACATTTTACCACTATATATAAATTTAACAAACATAGAGCTAAATGTAAAACCTAAAACTGTAAGCATTCTAGGAGAAAAATCTTTGTGACCCTGGGTTAGGCAAAGATTTTCTTGGACCCAATACACAAAGCACTAGCCATAACAGAAAAAAATGATAAATTCAAAATTAAAACTCCTGCTCTTCAATAGAAAATAAAAAGATAAGCTCCAGACTGGAGGAAAAATATTTGAAAAACATATTTGATAAAAGGCTAATACTCAGTTTATATAAAGAATAGTGTCAATAATAAGGAAGCAACTCAATTGAAAAATGGTCAATAGATTTTAAGAGGCGTGTCACCAAAGAAGAGAGATGGATAGCGAATGAGCACATGAAATGACCATTGGTCATTAGGAAAAGGTAAACTGAAATCACAATGAGATACCACTATGTCTCTATTAAAAATATGACAATATTAAGGTCTGACAAGGAGGCAATCAGTGAGAATTCTCATGCACTCCTACTTGTCAATGACAGACATTTTTAAAACAAGTTGGTAGTTTCTTATAAAGTTAAACACATATTTACCTTATAATCCAGTAATCCCACTTTGAAGGTATTTATTTAAGAGAAATGAAGCTATATGTCTGCATAAAACTTTTTATGTGTTTATGGCAGTGTTATTAATAATTGCCAAAAACTGTAAATAACTCAAATGTTCATCAAATGCTGACTGGGTAGACATATTATAGTTTATCCATATAATGGGAAAATGCTCAGCAATAAGAGGAAAAAACTGATAGAAGCAACAACAGAAATGAATCTGAAAAGTCTTTTTTTAATATATTTTTTATTGATTTCAGAGAGGAAGGGAGAGGGAGAGAGAGATAAAAACATCAGTGATGAGAGAGAATTATTGATCAGCTGTCTCCTGCACAACCCCCACTGGGGATCAAGTCCGCAACCTGGGCATGTGCCCTTGACCAGAATTGAACCTGGGACCCTTCAGTTCACAGGCTGACCCTCTATCCACTGAGCCAAACTGGTCAGGCCTGAAAAGTATTTTTGCTAAGTGAAAGAAACCAGTCCCTAAAAAGCTATATACAGGGTGTGGCAAAATTAGGTTTACAGTTGTTTGTATGGAAAATAATACAATCTATATATATAAAAGGCTAAGCGACAGTCTGACCAGTAGCTATGATGTGCAATGACCACCAGGGGGCAGACGCTCAACGCAGGAGCTGCCGAGTTGCGGTGACTTGGCAGCGGTGGTTCTCAGGTGATGCAACCCAGAACCAGAGAGGAGGGAGCACAATTCTGGGGTGTGTCACTTGAAAACCACCCTCTTGCAATCTGGGACTCCTCAGGGGATGTCAGAGAGCCAATTTCAGCCTGATCCCTACAGGCCAGGCCGAGGGACCCCATCTGCCAGAGGGACCCTGCTCACTCTGCAGATGCCCTTTGAGCCCCAGTGCCACCCCAGGTGCAGCCAGCCGGGGAGGGACTGCAGGAGGTTGGCTCCAGGGTGTGTCCGGCCCATCTCACCCAGTCCTGCCCCACTGGCTACCTTCTAATTAATTTCCTTTCAATGTGCACAAATCTATGCACGGGGGCACTAGTAATCCTATCTAATAAAAGAGTAATATGCAAATTAACCATCACTCCATCACAAAGATGGCGGCACCCAGTCCCCTCAGCCCCGCCGCTTGAGTGTCCAGGCCTTTTGGCCAGGCAGGTGGCAGGAGAGGCAAGGGGGTGGGGGGCGAGTGGCGAGGCTGGATCTGCCCCCAGGGGGCGGGCCCACCCTTGCCACTCCATCGCTGCTGGAGTGTCCGGGCCTGTCACCTGGCCAGGGGCCGTGGGGGCGAGCAGCAAGGCACTATCTACCCACTCCAGCGGCCAATCCGGCCTCGCCACTCCTCCACCACTGCGGTGTCTGGGCCTATCGACCTGGCCAGGGGCCGCAGGGGTGAGCGGTGAGGCACGATCCATCCACTCCAGCGGCCAATTCAGCCTCGCTGCTCCGCTGCTGATGGAGTGTCCTGAGGCAGCAGACACGGGAGCAGAGCCGAGGCAGTGGAGATGGGAGGGAGCGAGGCAGCGGAGAAGGGTGGGCTTCGCTCCCTTCTCTGCTTCGCTCCGGCCACAGAAAGCCCTATTCTTGCAGGAATAGGTCTGAGGAAGCCTTATTCTTGCAGGAATAGGTCCGAGGAAGCCCTATTCTTGCAGGAATCTTCCTGCAACGGGCCTCTAGTAATAAATAATACAAGAAGAAACTGTGTTTTGAGTACCCACAATTGTAAACCTACTTTTGCCCCACCCTGTGTTGCATAATTCTATTTATAGGACATTCTGGATAAAGCAAATAAATAGGAACAAAAAACATCTCAGTAGTTGTCAGGGGCTGTGGTGAGGAGAGGGGATTGACCACAAGGGCCATGAAGGAACTCTGAGTGATGGAAACAGTCTAAGTTTTAATTGTGGTGGTGGTCACAAACAGTATACCTAAAAGGAGTAAATTTTATCATCTAAATTATATCTCAATAAACCAGACTTTAAAAATAACATTAAAAGCCTTCCCATGACTCCCTGTTGCCAGAGGGCAGGCAAATTCCTTCATAATTTGGCCCGTGGCTCAGCATCTGACCTCATCTTTTGATCCTTCTTGCTCCCCACTGCTCTCAGTTTTCAAACATACCACAAACACTGTTTCTTCTTACCCAAGTCCCTTTGGTCCTGCAGTTTCCTCTGAGTGGAGTGCCCTTCCCTCTGCCCCCTGGCGAATTCCTACTCAGCTGTGGAGAGGGGAATCTCAGTTTTCCAGCGAAGACTATCCTGACTCTTACAAAGCATTTGCAGCCCTGGCCGGTTGCTCAGTGGGTAGAGCATAGGCCCACAGATAGAAGGGTCTCGGGTTTGATTCCCAGCCTCGGTTGGGTGCGTGTGTGAGGCAGCCAATCAATGCCTCTCTCTCTCTCTCTCTCTCTTTTCCCCACCCCCTCCCTCACTTCCACTCTCTAAAAATCGGTAAAAAATATCCTGGGATAAAGATTTTTTTAAAAAGAGCATTTGCAGCTCTTTGCTCCTGTATCTGGTGCCTTGGGAATAGCTCTTGGTGTGGATTTATAGTCTGTAACTCTGCGTACTTTACAAGGACAGGGGCCATGGGTCTGTGCCTTCCTCATCTCCATATGCCCAGTGCCTGGCACAGAGCCTGGGCACCCAGTGAGGAGCAAGATGGGGAGTGCTGCAGGGTTTCAGGGGTGTGACTTTCATGTCCCTGGATTTGGGAGACACCTATGACTTGTCCCTATGACAGACCCACCGAGGCTGGGTCCTCTTCAGACTATTCGCACCTTGCTTGTGTGGACTGGTTTGTGCACCACTGAGCATCTCGCCCAGGGCCAGTCCTTAGTGTCCCCTGCAGAATTTTTCTTAGCTGCTCCTCGTGTTTCCAGCTGCTACTGCCATTGGCAACCACACAGCAAGAGCAATAACAACATGCACCTTGTTTGTTCCAAGTCTTGCTGAAGAGTTAGCACAGATCTCTCTCTGCCTGGCCCCTGGGTTTCAGAGTTTTTAACAGAGCACAGCTGAGTCAGCCGCCTGCAGCCTGGGCACAGCCCGGAGAGTCCTCTGACTCAGCCCCCAGGGCACAGCCCACTTCACCGAGCCATCCTGAGGCGGGGAGTGTTTCCCATGGGGAGCAGGGTAACGGAGAGAATACCTCCCCTCATTACAAACCAGAACTGAAAGTCAGTGAAGGACATGCTACTTGTCTGTTGGGCTCGGCTCATTTTATTTGTACGAAAACATGATTCAATATTGGCTCTTCTCCTGAAGGTATATTTTGAGCATCACTAGTTAGAAAGGGCACCTGATGACTCAGTCTGAAGACTCATGTCCTACTCAGCGTTGACGGCCCTGCCAGGCCCCAGAGAAATCTCCCAGGGTTAAGAAAGGATGGAAATTTCCCCGAAAGGAAAGCTGCGGTTTTGGAGCATTTCGTTGCCTGATCAATTTTGTATGATGATTGAGATGCTGGGGGAGATGTAATGATAAGCTAAGTGGCTCTGCACAACAGATCCCTGCGCCATATGGTGGGGATGTGCACTGCATACGTGTGCTACTCCGTTTTGCATCTGCACACGGATCTGTGAATATCTGGGTTTTCTAACTGGCTTGAGGACTGTGTAAGACAGCTTGTGGAATCATGTAAAGCCATAGGAAGGAAACTGATAGCACAATCAAATCAAGAGATAATATTTCAAGAGGTTGTATGTGAAGATCAACATAATTTGTATTGCGAAGTCTGTTCCTTTCCTTGCCATTTGTTCTGTCTTTCCTTCCTGCACCCCCACCCCAATCTGGATCGCCAGCGCGGGAGACAGATGCTTTCCCAGTGATGTTTATTAGACACTCAGGTGCCGGATCTGTCACTCAGGGAGTAACGTCTGCTTCTCTTGCAGCCGCCGCTGGCGTCGCTGGAACCGATTCAGTCGCAGACGATGTAGGGCCGCCGTGAAGTCTGTCACGTTTTACTGGCTGGTTATTGTCCTGGTGTTTCTCAACACCTTAACCATTTCCTCCGAGCACTACAACCAGCCGGACTGGCTGACGCAGGTCCAAGGTACAAGCAGAAGCTCTCCTCTTTTTGTCCTGAATGAGGGATTCCCGAGGCTGTCCAGGCACGTTAGTCCTACCTGCTCGGTGTGTGATAGGTGCGGGAACGATTCAGGGAGCACTAATTGGAAGAACGTAGAACCGTCCAAACACAGGGTGCAGGTGATGGGCGCCAGGGCATGCCATCGTCTTCACCCTGTGACAACCTAGCATGGAGGAATCCGCCAGTGGGGAGGGTCCTCCCCCCTCCCCCGCCCCCACTAAGGGGAAGCTTTATTTTCCCTTCTGGTATTCTGGGCAAGTGGTGATAGTTCCCCCGCCCCGAGCGCCCCAGCCATGTGGTGTGGGAGTTCGTCCCCAGAGACAGTCCATTCTGAGTGTGGCAGTTTTGAGCCATCGAGAAGGCCTGTCTTACATCAAGTTAAATCTGTTTCCGTCCAACTCCCCAGCCTGCTGGGAGGTGTTTTCTGCTGTTAGAAATGACCTGGATAGGCAACTGCTTCTTCTCTCGTGGTGCTGTAAGCAAGACCAAGAGCTTTTGTGACTGATAGGAGCAGGAAATACAATATGCTAGAGTCCAGTGGTCGGCAAACTCATTAGTCAACAGAGCCAAATATGAACAGTACAACCATTGAAATTTCTTTTGAGAGCCAAATTTTTTAAACTTAAACTGTATAGGTAGGTACATTGTTATTAACTTAATTAGGGTACTCCTAAGGCTTAGGAAGAGCCACACTCAAGGGGCCAAAGAGCTGCATGTGGCTCACGAGCCGCAGTTTGCCGACCATGGTGCTTGACTGAATGGAGATGCATAGGCTCCGAGGGCTAGGAAGCTTCGGAGGTTACGTTACGTGGAGAGCTGCCCCTCCCCATGGCATAGTCAGTGAGACTGAGGCCCAGAGAGACCTAGGGCCCTCTCCAGAGTCACATGTCTAGGTAGTGGCGGCAGCAGGACTGGAACCTGGCAGACAAGCAGACCATCGATGTTAGTGCCACGTCTCTGCAATGGAGGCAGTAGCGGAGAAGGGGGCATTCACAGCAGGGACCGGGGGAGGGGAGCAGAGGCGATCCCAAGGACACCCGCCCCTTTGTCTTTCCAGACATCGCGAACAAAGTCCTCCTGGCGCTGTTCACCTGCGAGATGCTGGTGAAGATGTACAGCCTGGGCCTCCAGGCGTACTTCGTCTCCCTCTTTAATCGCTTCGACTGCTTCGTGGTGTGTGGGGGCATCACGGAAACCATCTTGGTGGAGCTGGAAATCATGTCTCCCCTGGGCATCTCCGTGTTCCGCTGTGTGCGCCTCTTACGGATTTTCAAAGTGACCAGGTGAGGACGGGGGCACGTTGCTGCGGGTGTTTTCTGCGGGCCAGGCGGCGCGTCGCCTCCCGTCAGGCCATGTCTGCGTTCTGGGCTCACATCCTCACCTTGACTTGCAGGCACTGGACATCCCTGAGCAACTTGGTGGCATCCTTGTTAAACTCCATGAAGTCCATCGCTTCGCTGTTGCTCCTGCTCTTCCTCTTCATCATCATCTTCTCCTTGCTCGGGATGCAGCTGTTTGGAGGCAAGTTTAATTTCGACGAGTCGCAGACCAAGCGGAGCACCTTTGATAATTTCCCTCAGGCGCTTCTCACGGTGTTCCAGGTGAGCCCGCCCCCGCTGCCCCTCCCTGCAAAACCCGTTATGAGGTGCCTCCTTGTCTGTCCACGACTCAGTGAGACAAAACGGTTCTGTTTCCATTAGTCGTCTCCACCCCAGTGATGGATGCTCTGCTACATTTTGTTCCATTTAAGCAGTCTCTTTTGCATCTCAATCCTGCTCTCGATGGGATGTGATTTAATGTTTTTGCAAGGCCACAGACCCTGGGGTGTCTGTGAGATCGGCTCTTTTCTGGTTCTGTGCTAGTTTTTGGTCGAGGGCAAGTTTTGTAATTCTGGCTATAACAGATTTATGCAAAGAAGTGACTTCCAAAGGCCTAATGTTGTGGTGTAGTCAGAGGAATCAGGGTGATAGAAGAGTTGTGGCAGCCTTCTGACCCTTTTCTGTCCTCCCTCGTGTGATGTAATGGGGACACACGGCCTCAGAGGGTGTCTGTGTGGTTGGGGCCCCTGCGAGCAACGAGGCTGAGGAGCAGGGGACAGGGTGAGGCAGCAGCAGCCTCGCCAGCCCTCCTGGCTCGAAGCCGAGTTGCTCTAAACTCCTCTTCATCTTCCTATGTTGTGAGCTGAAGCCCTTCCTTGGACAGAGCCTGGTCGATAAATTTAACAGTCCCGTCTGCCCTTGTGGCTTTTCACATGCAAGTCCAGGAGCTCTGTGCCCTGCTGGAGAGGCCGTGGGGCCAGCGGGAGGGGCAGTGGGCATGCGGGCCTGGGGCTCTCCCAGTGCTCAGCTCTGTGACCCTGGAAAGTCACTGTCCTTTTCTGAAAAGGAGAGAGACAGAGACAGAGACAGAGACAGAGACAGTAGAGGGAATGATCTCTAAGATTCTTTCCCACTTGGCCACTGGAAGTGAGTGGGATTTCTGTCACTGCTATAGGCTGTGACAGAATTATACTTAATTTTTGAAAAATTTTTGAATTATACTTAATTTGGGGCCACTGATGAGTCACTGGTTTTTCTGATTTCTTTCAGAGAAGCCTGTGTGGTGGTTGTTTTGTAATACATGCATGTGGCACAAAATTCAAACATTGCAAAAGGATATAAAGTAACAATCAAGTCCCCTCCCTCCCTCCCACCCACCCACCAAGCCAGCCGCCTTCTAGGAGACAACCACTGTTAAATAGCTTCTTGTGTATTCTTTGAGATATATTTGCTCAGATATAAGTCAGTTAACCTGCCTACCTGCCTCCAGGTGAATTCATACAGATGGTAGCTCATTCTATACTGTTTTCCATCTTGCTTTTTATCATTTAAAGTGTCCTTAAGAACCTGCCTGATTGGCCCACAAAAGGTTGCCACCTCCTTTTCCCTGCAGCGTAAATTCCTGGGTATGGGCGTGCATGATTCATGGAGCAGTCCCCTGCTGAGGAATATTTTATCGTCTCCAGTCTTGCCTCAGTGGGTGACCTTGAACATACACCCTGGGGCACATGAGTGAGAGCAGATCTGTAGGAGATGTTCCCAGAGTCTGCTGGTTCAGAGGGTGTGTGCGCATGTGCAGCTTGGATGCTCTGGCCCAAGTATTCTCCTTGAGGGTGTGTTCGTTCATCCTCCAGGGATGGGGTGTGGGGGCTGCGCGTTGCCTCCTTCGCACCCCACTGGAGGTGCTCAGGCTTTCAGATTGCGCCTGTCTGATTGGTGAACATGGTATTATCAGGAGTGAACTTGAATGTCTTTTCATGTGACTAAGGCCCACTTATAATTCCTTTTCTGTGAATTGCTTTATCAAATCCCATTTGCCTATTTTCCTGTTTGGTGGTGAATCATGCATGCCCATACCCACGATGGTTTTAATTTTGTAAGTATCTGGTCCAGATAGGTGATATAGGAGCTCTCTCTCTCTCTCTCTCTCTCTCTCTCTCTCTTTCTCTTTCTCTCTTTCTTTCTCCCTCACTGTCTGTTTTTCTTTTTGGAAGTTAGTGTATTTTTTAATTGCTGTTAATATCCATCTGGTTCTATTTCATGATGGATTGAATTACCAAGTATCATCAGTAGAGAAGATCATATTTGAAATTCAGGTAGTTATTAGTACCTACTCATGAGGTAGTTTGTAAATTTACGTAAGATACTTAGGGAATTCCCTGCTTATAAAAATTCATAGCTATAGTTTTCCTTTCCACACTTGGTTAACTATGTGGAATACTAGGCAGCAGTTAAAAAGACTGAAATGAGCCCTGGCCGGTGGCTCAGTTGGTTGGAGCATCATCCTGTGCTCCAGAAAGGTTTCGGGTTTGATTCCTGGTCAGGGCACATACCTAGGTTTGTGGGTTCAGTCCCCAGTTGGGGCATGTGTGGGAGGCAACCAATCAATGTTTCAATCTCACATCAATATTTCTTTCTCTCTTTCCCTTCCTCTCTCTCTAAAATCAATGAAAACATATCCTTGGGTGAGGATTTAAAAATAATTTTTTTTAAAGAATGAAATGAAGCTGTTAACACAGAGTGTCTCCAGAGTATACTGTTGAGGGGGGTAGGGGGTAAGGCAAATTCCAGAAAATTCATACAGTATATGATACCCTTTATGTTTAATAAATCAGAGAAGCCTCCAACGGCCCATTTCCTCTGAGTGTGCATATGAGTTTAAATCCACAATAAAGGTCCCGGAGAGAGACACCCCAATAGCATGCTCTCTGGGCTGGGGTGTCATCCCAGGGTACAAAGTGTTATATGTAATGTTATTTTCACTAGAACGATTAACTCATCTATTGGTGTAATTAAAAATAATGTTTTTTTGCCCTAACCAGTTTGGCTCAGTGGATAGAGCGTCGGCCTGTGGACTGAAGGGTCCCAGGTTCGATTCCGGTCAAGGGCATGTACCTTGGTTGTGGGCACATCCCCAGTGAGGGGTGTGCAGGAGGCAGCTGATTGATGTTTCTAACTCTCTATCCCTCTCCCTTCCTCTCTATAAAAAATCAATAAAATATATATTTTTTTAAATAATAATGTTCTGTAAACTCTGCGGGATAGCAGGTGGGTTTGTTCAGTGCAGACCGGACTGTGAAAGGCAGCGTAAACCAGATGTAGGGCAGCTGCCACGGAGCTCTGGAGACACCTGGGAATTGTGTGTCCACCGGCTGATCAAGTTTTGGCTTCTTAGATTCTGACAGGCGAAGACTGGAATGCTGTGATGTATGACGGCATCATGGCGTACGGGGGCCCGTCATCTTCGGGGATGATCGTCTGCATCTACTTCATCATCCTCTTCATTTGTGGGAACTGTATCCTTTCGCTGACCAGGGTGTTGCTGTTGCCCCTCTTGTTTGGTTTCTCCCTCTGACTCTCCCCATGGTGGCGTGGTGGCCGTTGTGATGGGGAGGTGAATGCCCTTTCCCTGTTCTATCTGCTCTCCTTCACCGTTGCTGGGTCAGCAAAGGAGAGGCAGCGTCTCAGTGAGGCCCTGCAGGATGAGAGCAGGCTCGGGGGAAGGAGCCAGAGACAGTGCCTGGGCTGCAGCAGTGGTCGCCCCTCGAGGTGTCGCATCTCCTGTGCAGGTCCCATGCGATAGCTCAGGGCAAGGCCAGGTGGCTCTCCATGCCATCACCCTTGGGAAGCTTTGGCACAGTTATATCTTCTTAAAACCCCTCATAACTGATGGGGACCCACCTTCAGTGGGCTGAGCTAAGCTCCCGTAAACCTAACTTCACTTTGCTGACCTGTCCATCTTTGAAAGTCAAATATCCATTGGCTGGTTGCTGTATCATGCTGTGTAACTTCTCCAACGTGTTTATTCCTTCTCCCTGCCAGGAGTTAGTCTCTAACCCCAGGCTTCTGGAAACTCAGGTCTTTCTCTACCTCGATTGGCACATTCACGACCCTATCACCTTTGCTTGTGGCTGCTTTATCTCTCCGTCCTCCCTGCGCAGCACAAGACCTGGCTTGCAGAGCCCCTCAATAAATGCTTGGTGGAAGAGCTGTTGTACAAACATATGAGTACCACCTCAGGCTCCCAGAGGCTCTGTGTAAAAAATAGCCTAGCATCTGGAAGACGGTTCGAAGTCTTAATATAATTCACTCACGTTCCTGCCCTCTTGAACGACTTGACTCAATTCGTCGAGCACGAAATCCCCTGGAAGCTGTCTCATCATCGGTCCCTGTTAGGTGATGTTTGCATGTTCGGCACCCCCCGGAGACCTCAGACTGCAAGGGCACGTGAGCAGTGTGTGCTGCTCCCGTCTCGGGCCCCGGCTCCCGCCTGCAGAGGGCTGTGCTCAGCCTGAGACGCTTCGTCAGGGGAGGGAGCCGCCTTCACTTCCTGCCCTCTCATCTCCTGCTTCTCAAAAACAGACTTACCAGCTAGCAAATAAGAAACAGGCATCTTCTGATTTAGAAACCTTGTTCTGAAATTTTTTAAATTGTTTATGGAAACCACACATACGTTATAGTAAAAGCCAAAAACCTTATAACTTGTTCAAATACCTAACTTTTTACTATTTGAAAAAATAAAATTCAACCACCATAGTCAACGATTCAGCCACAGTGGGCCTATTCCAAAGAATAGTCCAGCACATCCGGCAGTGAGTCGGGCGTGCGGTGGTCAGGGGATGTGCAGTGAATGGATGAATGAATGAGGTGTCCGCACACCCTGGAGGCCGTTTCCAATGAGAAAGGCTCAGACTGCCTTGTGCAATGGGATCCTCATTTGCATAATGTGTTGTCTTTGAAGGGGTCTATTTTGGAAAGCATGCCCAAAATATATATGCGTTATGGGTGTGTGTATTTTAAATGAAACAAAACAAAATGCATAAAGCAAACTTGCAACATGAAAAAGACCCTCTGTGTTTATGTTATAGATTGTCTTGTGCAATGTGTCTCATAGCTGTAGATACCTATGTGTGTAGAGGCACACACGTGCATGCGCAAGCACACGTGTGCACATGCATGAAAAGAAATGTTGACGTTTGTAGGTTTTCACGCAGTTTAGTGAATCTTAATTTTGCTTCTATCCAGACTATCTTCTCCACTTTTCTAGTTTTATAAAAGAAAACAGCAACAAAGACACACGGCTCTGGTCCTCTGGCTTTACAAGTGAACATGGCACTAGGGGACAGTGTCCCGTTACCAGCCTCCTGGAGTGCACAGGGGATGCTTCTATTGTTGACCATGCATCAGAAAGGTGTTATACCCTTAAAATGTTCAAATTAGATATTCTACTGAATGTCTTCTTGGCCATCGCTGTAGACAACTTGGCTGATGCTGAAAGTTTGAATACTGCTCAGAAAGAGGAAGCTGAAGAAAAGGAAAGGAAAAAGATTGCCAGGTAACCCTGTTTTCACCTAAGTTGCTGCTGGGGAGCCAGCTGCAGGTGAGGCCTGGCGGAGCCACACAGACTCCACAGCAGCCGCGACCCCACGTTGCTGCTCAGTGGTGATCGTGGATGGCCACGTGGGGCCGGCCCAAAAGGCTGGAATCTGGGGCAGAGCCCGGGCTCTTGGCACGCATTCCCTCAGAGCTGAGAGTGGGAGTCACATGTCCCCATGCCTAACGAATCGCTGCGGTTAATTTTGGCACCATAAAATAAATGATGCATTCAATGCTGATTAGCTTTTGGATGAGAATTCTAATAAGATGACCCGTGAAATGAATCCAGTGCCCTGAATGAGCAGGAAGCTCTGAGTGTGGGTTGTGCTGTGTTCTGGCTGGTAGGGTGGTTTCCAATGAGATGCTGTCCTTCCTGGGCCACTGCTGATGCAGAGCCCTGGTGAGGGTTTTTATTCGCAGCAACATAGTTACTTGGTTTCTTGGGTTCTGTCCTCTCCTCTGTAGAAAAGAAAGCCTGGAAAATAAAAAGAACCACAAGCCGGAAGTCAATCAGATAGCCAACAGTGACAACAAGGTACATGATCTGAAATGCTCCCCCGCTTTCTATTTCAAAATGATTCACCACAACTGTGCCCTTTCCACCGTGAGGGTGTGCTGTGTGATATTTCAGTGAGGATGGCACACTCTTGTAGAGGCTGGCCTCCGGGGGTTCTGAGTGAATTTAGGCACTTCACTGGTTATTAGCCAGTATTTACCAGAGAACCAGTGTGTTAGATGTTTGACTGGTCTGACCACTTATTTTCCTTTATTGGGCTTGTGCAATCAGACCTGACCTGTGAGTGTCTTCTCAGTGGGGATTGAAATCCAGGGCTGTCAATGGGTATCTGCTCGAGGAGACCGCAGGGCGAGGGCCTGTGTGCTCTGGCCTGTTCTGTGAAACCCCGTCCCACGGATGACAGCTCTGGGCTTTTCATTCACTTGGTTGTCTGTTCATTGAATCAGTAAATACTTTTTGTACAGTTGCCATGTGTCAGAGACTGAGGATTGAGACTGAACAAGACCAACAAGTTCCCTAGCAGCATGGCGCTCACTGTCAGTATGTGATGCTGCTGGGCGCTGTGACCACAGCTGGGAGGGTGTTGCCTCGTCTGCCCTCAGACCTCGGTCTCCACAGGGTCACTGCCTGGGCATCTGCTGCCCTTGCACACTCACGCCCGTCACACTCTGAAGGGACTTTTCTGCCCCATTCTGAGTGGCAGAGTTGAGTCCTCACTGTGGCATTTAAATCAGAATCTCCCCTCCTCCCAAGATCTCTCTGTCATCCTAGGTCATTATTGATGAGTACCAAGAAGAGGATGAGGACAAGGACCCCTACCCACCCTGCGACGTGCCAGGTATGGTGGCGGGCTTGGCCACCGCTCTACGATCAGCGGCTGCCTCTGCGGCTGCTAGCCCAGCTGGATGCACACTGGGCCGCCGAGGTCGCCGAGGCCATGAGTCCAGTCCCCTGCTTTTTCTCTGGGTCACAGGCAGCTTACATAACCTACATTCCAGGTGGTGGGAGAGAAAGTATAGGTGGATCAGGATAACCCCAACCTTTGCTGGAGATCTCTCTAGGGACAACCAATAATTACAACTCGCCTGACACTTTCCTATTTGACCGGTGCCTTTATTGGCTGATGTAGGAGGGACCGTGATGGTAGAGGAGCTTGGGGGACTGATCATGTGTGACTTGAAGTCCCTCACAGTGTTTTGGGCCGAAGCTGAGCAAGGAGGTCACTGGGGACACAACTGTGCTGGGGGATGGCCATGGGAATCACATTGTTGCCGCCTCTTACCTGCGCTCAGATCTGCAACTGCTGGGCACCTGAGCCCCACAACTACACACACTCACGTGCAGGCAAGCTGCTCAGTCCCTGCCTCACCCCCGACACACACACAGCCCATATTCTAAAGGGTTTTGATTCTTGTAAGCTGATAGATGTTGTTAAAGTTTAAGTTAAATTTCCATGTGACATCGAGAATGATTAGAACCCAAATTCAGCCTTTGTTTCATGCCTATAAAAAAGTGTCTCCTTTAAAGTAGGGGAAGAGGAAGAGGAGGAGGAGGAGGAGGATGAACCCGAGGTCCCAGCTGGCCCCCGTCCTCGCAGAATCTCGGAGCTGAACATGAAAGAGAAAATCGTCCCCATTCCGGAAGGGAGCGCTTTCTTCATTCTTAGCAAGACCAACCCGTAAGTGCCCCCTCTCCGGTCACATCCCTGTGGCCCTCCAGGTTGCATGATGGGGAGGGTGGCTGGGGACGGGGCGGCTCCTTTCTGCACCTGAACAAGGGAGCCCACCCCCCAGGCTCCAGCCCCTCCAAGCCCCAGCCTTTGTCCTCTGCTCATCCCTTCCTAGCCTTGCTTTCCTGGATGTAGGGGCTGCAGGGGTGTGGCCTGGGCTGGGAGGAGCCTAGTCCAGATTCTCCTCCCCTTCACCCCTGGGCTGGGCTTGGCGGTGGTGAAATAGCTGCCTCTCCTTCGGAGCCCACGGCTCTGGCCTTCCCTGGTTGGTCACCTGTGACGTGTTCTCCATCCAAAGGACCCTTTCTTCACTGCTGGGTCTTCTGTTAGGATGCCTCGGGGGATGGGGATTTTGTCACTGACTTCTGCCCAGCGTCTTCATCCTGAGATCTAGTCCAGCTGATCACTTTTCCCTGTTATTGCTCAGTGATATCTTATAGGTTGCTCGTGTTAGCACGACAAGGTGCTCACCAGGAGCGTGGCCCTTGCTCACAGGTACGGGAAGAGGAAGGTGCTTCTTTACTGGCTGGGTTCTGGGTTTTCCATTATCCTGGACCGAGGGAAATGCCAGAGGGAATAGATGGCTCCTGGAGGTTCTAGAATCGCAGGAGCAGTTCCCGGCCGTCGGAGAAGAACTCTGTGGTTCTTAGGCCCCGGGAGACACAGGGGGGAAGCAAGGCCGGCTGTGGTCCTGAGAGACTTGCAGATTTGATGATAGCTTTTCCACTCATCACTGTTGAGAGTTTGGGCACCCCTGACGTTACTGACACCCATAGCCCACTGTCTACCTATATTGAAGGACAAATTGATTGCCTGCCCTCAGCCCTGGGCCGCCTTCCCCAGACTCAGTTGCTATCAGCTTGCACCGATGGTCCAGGGCACATTTCAGCCTTAACCAGCCCCAAAGGGAGGATCTGAAGCAAGGAGTCACTTTTCCTATAGAGTTGACTACAGTTTTAAAAGTGAAAAAAATCTTTCCAAAGGAAAACCTACATGTATTCTATAGGCCAAAAAAAAAAATCTTTAAATTCTAAAGTCAAGTGTTGGGATGAAGGGTAGTCAGGCACTGACTAGCTCCCGGACGTCAGGGGCTGCAGGGAGCTCCGATGGCCACAGAGCCATTGTGGGGGTGAGGGCCGGACGGGGGCGCTCGGCACATGTTGCTCTTCCGGCTTCATGGGACTCTGATGCCCTATCGCAGGTACACTAAGATCCTCGTGAGATTCTTGCGTGTTGATGTAACTCTCACTTCCGTTCTCAGGAGTGCTCATTATGGGTCAACTCCAAATAATAATAATAATAATAATAATAATAATAATAATAATGCAGCCCTATGACCGAATCCCCCCGTAACAGGGCATTCACCAGGCCTCCCTCACTGCGGCCTATGTTAGCACAGCCCCGCCGCAGTATGAGAAAGGGATCACTCCTCCCATTTGTTGCGAGCTGCTGCGATGATGAGCTCCCACGTCAGTCTCCCTTCTCGGTTGGGAAAGTAAGCTCCAGGCTTCATGTTGTAGCAGGAAACGTCACCGTCAGCCCGGGATGGAAATCCTAACACAGTTCTTTCACGGGCTTAAGCCTCAGTTTCTTCTCCTTCAGCAGGTGGCAGTCCCCACGTTGAAGGACTCTGAATGGTGTCCGTGAGCTCCCACACGGAGCCGCACCCAGGCCCACAGGGTCTGCCGTGCAGGGGTTTCGAGGGGCGACGGTCAGGTGGTTCTGGTCTGCTGGGTGGGTGTGGACGGCCGCCCCTGCCTGACCCGGGCCAGCATGCGGGGCCGGGGTGCTGGCTGGGCGAGGTCCATGTGCCGGCTCTCCCCACAGCATCCGCGTGGGCTGCCACAAGCTCATCAACCACCACGTCTTCACCAACCTCATCCTCGTCTTCATCATGCTGAGCAGCGCGTCCCTGGCCGCCGAGGACCCCATCCGCAGCCACTCCTTCAGGAACACTGTAAGCCACCGAGCGGGCGAGGACAGGCGGGTGGGGTTCCTGGGTCGTCCCTGGCCTCTCCTGTCGCCCACGCAGAGCCTGGGAGGCCCGAGGGGCTAAAAGCTAGAGTAGGCATCACGTTCCCCTGCAGGCCCTTCACGGTTCCCGCTTGTAAGTACCAGCCAGGTTTTGTCTTATCAGGACAAAGCTTTCCTGAATTGTGTACTTTAGACTTCATTTTAAATCACTTGTAGTGTATTCAGGGACCCCGCTTCTCTTCCTCTTCATTCCTGGCCGCAGTATTCTGGTCCCTCTTTCCTCCCACGGCCCAGTTCTCATCCGTGCTGTTTGGGTGCTTCTGCCGAGTGGAAGACCCAGCAGGAGGGAAAGTAAAACTGAGACGAGGTGTGAGGCAGGCCCAGGAGCTTCCTGAGGGCTGGGGGGGAAGACTTCGGTCCCACAGGGATGGACAGTCACGAAGCTACCTGGCTCCGTCACTGGGAGAAACTCAAGTCAGGGAGGTGATGCAGTGTGGAGTTGAGTGGTTCTGTGAGAGGAAGGTGGGGCAGAGGCTGTTTTATGAAGAAAACTAGTGGAGGGTTACGTTTTCTATAACGGGTTTCATAGCGTAGGGGTGGCACCTTGCCCTGCGGATGTTGGACAGCACGGTGCCCAGACAGTTCTCGCCTAAGAAGTCCCAGCTTAGCAGGCAGCGGGTTCCGCTGAACAGTCCCTGCATGAGACGGTTTGGAACCAGGACCTGCTGCCTCTCAGCCCTGATACTGCAGCGCAGTTTCAGATGGTAACTCAGAACCCTCCCAGGCGAGGGCGGCCGGCATGAGGCCATCAGGCGCCGCTGCCGTGCCTGCGTGGGACCTGTGTCTGCTCATGAGGTTTAGAGATTTGAGGATTAAAACCAGTCACCAGATCAGTGCCCCAGGATTTCGGTTGTGACCACCAACCCTCATGCGGTCTTTCCATTTCCAGCCTCTCGGTTTGAAGCCTGGCAAACCCAGCCTATCAGACTGATAAACACACACTCTGACAGGAAGATAAAGAACTTTCCTCCAAGGCACGTGCTGGTGCTGATGTAACGATAACAGCCCCGAGCCTGTCTTAATCTCTACATGTAAATGGAACAAAGACTCGTGTCGTTGAGTTCCATGATAAAAATGAAACCGAAGGGAAAAATACCATCACAAGGCAGACTAGGTCCGGAGCTAGCCTGGAACACAGATTGACGGAGAATTAATTTAGATCGGGGCCTCGTAGTCTCATTTTTTTTGTAATTACTTGTCCATTACTTGCCCATGAGTTTACTCCCCTGCTGCTTCCCCCAAGAATGCTGTTTTTAAATAGATGTACATATGTGTATGTGCATTGCTTTTTAAAGCACAGTTTTTTTTATAGTGGTAACATTTAACATGAGGTCTACCCTTTTAACAACATTTTGAGTGTACAGACGGTATTCATAGTGATGGGCTTTGTATGACAGGAGCTATGTCCATTGGACAGCTCCCCATGTCCCCTCCCCAGCCCCTGACCACCTCCATTCCACTTTCTGTCTGTGCATTTGCGATCCTGCAGTACTTTTTGTTTTGCTTTTGAACTCTGCTGAGTTATCAGTGAAAAGGAGAAAGGAGGCCGAGTGGATCTGAGAGCGCTGACCCTCGGGCGTGGGCAGCAGTGCTTTTCTTGGCCGCCCAGGTGCTGCCAGCAGTAAAGTCCTGCTGTGACCATGGAGGAAAGGAGGAGGGGCAGAGGCCTGTAGTGGGTGAAATGCTTTGCATGGCCTGGCCAGAAACACGGATACGCAAAGTTTATATATTCAAAAATGGAAGCCCTTTGGATAATGAATGCCCTCTGAGAAGAGAACTTAACCTCGAGCTGAGGAGAGCTGGCCTTTGGGGCAGAGGTCCTCACCTTATTGTAACAGAGAGCAAAGGCCTCCCTGGGGTGGACACTTCAGCAGCAGGGCCCGTGGCTCTCGGCTAGTGTTCCGCAGGCCTCGCTCCATGCTCCGCAATGCCAGGACTGGCTTCGTGGCCCGGGCAGGCAGCCCTGTGCCCTCCCCGGTATCCTCATCTGTTAAAGGAAAGGATTGTTACCAGACTCCCTTCCAACACTGATCTGCTCAGTTCTTTCAACCTTAGACTACAGTTGTCACAATAGTAAGTAGCTGAGATGGCTGCTTCTCCTGGTGGTCTCCACTGTCTCCTGGTGGCTGAGGTCCCGGCGAGCAGCCTTCCTTCAGTGGCAGTCAGACCTCTTGCTGCAGCCCACCTGCCCCTCTCTCCTCCCCCAAGGCTCTGAGAAAGGCAGAGACCCCAGAGGGGCAAGCCGGTTGGAGAATAGACGGTATTCTCAGGAATACTGACAAAGTAGCCTGGACTGATGATTCGTTAACCGGGTCACCTGTTCTTCGGGTGGGCCCGGCGAGGTTAAAAAGCAGTGATGGTAGAGAGAGGGCTCGATGCAGAGTGAGCGAGGTGGTGAGTGAAACTTCCCTGAGGGCTTACCCAGCCCCACACATCGGGGTGCGGGGAGGGGGGGGTACTTACTCCCTGAGGAAATGGGCTGGCATTGGAGGGGACTCGAGGAAGCTTCCGGCCCCTTTTGATGCCCCTTGCATCATTATTTACATTTCCCCACCATTCTAAAGCTCAGGGGATGGCAACGTATTTCATTCAGCCAAGGATGCAGTTAAAAATTCAAGATGTGTGTGAGGCTCTAATTTATCTGGTGCCACGAGTAATTTGTCAACGTGGTGCTCCGATGAGAAAGGGTTATTAATAAAGCACGTTTAGAAACGAGTCTCTGTCTGAGACGTGAGGCTGGGAGGGTGGGCACGAGCGGCTGAGGAGGTAAGTAGTTCCAAGTGCTCTTGGTCCATCATCCAGAGGAGCAGTGACTGGCCTGGGTCGGGCATTTGTGAGCATCTCTGCGCTTACCTCCAGAGAGACAGGCTTGTCCCGGGAGGGCCTCCCACTGCAGGTGGGATTCCACCCATGGGCGTATGGCTGTGGGGCCTGTCGGGGTGCCTTTCTCTCATTTCGTTGTTATGCCTTTCAGATACTGGGTTACTTTGACTATGCTTTCACAGCCATCTTTACTGTTGAAATCCTGTTAAAGGTAATGGCGTTTTCATTGATCCTCACATATTCTAGTGCAGCTGTAGCAATAATAGTTTCACTTCTCTGCTTGCTTTCCAGATGCTAGGTTATGCAGACTATGTCTTCACAGCTACTTTTGCGTTTGAGATTGTTTTGAAGGTAACAGGTTCCGCAGGGTGTGTGTAAGGGGCCTGCTCCTGCGTGTGACACACCGCAAAGCAGCGTAAAGTGCTTTGGACTATTTTTGTGTTTTTTGTTTTTGTTTTTTTTGTCTGTGATCAAGCGTATACTTTTTATTTTTTTAATCAGAGGATTTTTTTTTTCCCGAAACTTCAACCTGTTTTTGCTCTTTCCTTTTAATCCTTGATGCATGTAGGACTTTCTGTGGCTTCATGATAGTGATTGGAAATGATGCTTTGTTCTTTTTTTATATCCTCTGAACTGTGTCAACTGATCACAGACACATCACCATGTGTTAACTTTCTCCCACCCTTCCCGGCATCAGAGTCGGAGGAAATGCATTTATCCCGTGAAGGGCATGGATCTCTTCTTGTTTCTTTGACTGAATTACGATCCAGTGGCCTAAAAATAGTAACAGCACTATTTTCTTGCAACAGGATTTGCAAGATAACTTGAATCTGTTTGTGTTAAGATATTTTCTGTTTTAATGGATGGGCTTACATTTACACAGACAAAAGGAGCACCTTTTGGCCAGGGTGCCCTAAATGTACTGCCCATGCATGAGCTAACAGGTGCCATTGCTGCATGCGGTTCGTGTACTGAGGCTGAGAGCCGCCTGGGGAGCTCATTCCTGCACACCCAGCGGAGACCGACCGCAGAGAGCCCAGCACCCCCTGCCCCGACTCGCGAAGTGGTGCGGGTCTTAGCAGTCCTGGATAACGTGGCCTGTGACAACTGTCAGAGCAAATCATCTCCCCGTGGGGCGATGAGCTGGGAAATGAGGAATTTTAACCACAGTTTTCTTTAAACCATTTTGAGGTTTTTTTGTGGGTTCATCTCAGGGGAAAAAATGTATTTTATGTTAAACTACTATGGAACTTGGGCTCTTTACAAAATCTTCTGTAAAATGAAACCTCAATTAACATGGCTCAGGAATAGGGTATTTATTTTATTTCTATTATTATTATTATTACTTGGCAATGAAAACAGTGAAACACCAACTAAACAACCAATCTCTGTGTAAACATTAGTTAAAAATCTAAACATTTTAGTTCATTTTCTTGCCTTGAAGCCAGTGAATTTGGTTGTCAGTACTAAGTCAGACCCGTGCCCGGGTCCGTGAGCAGATTCTAATAGCGGTCTCCACGGTAAGGAGCACAGAGGCGGAAGGCAGTGGGTGGGCGTGGGGTGAAGGGCACTCACCCAACCTCTGCTTGATCCCAGCTGCTTTTTAAAAAAAATTTCCCTTTTTTTCCTTAAACCAGATGGGGAAATGTTCTACTCAGTCTGTTAGCCTGGTTAATTGAGGTTTTATTTTATTTTCCACATGTCTTAGTTGTTAAATGAAGTAGTTACTTTCCGGCTTTGGGGCAAATGAAATACAGGTTTATTTAAAAGGAAAAAAATGTATTGCTTTTCAATTTCTGTATATTTACCTCAGTCACACAAACCTTCCACGTCATTCATGATTTTGAAAGTATTTTAGAGAGCGGAAAATAAGCTAAGACAAGGATTCAGAAAACAGAGATTTGCCAAGAAGCATCCGACATATGAAACGGTGGTTCCTGGTGGCCTTGTGAAAATTTGGAAGGCTTTTTGGTTATTTGGTTTAACACAGGAAATTACCATTTTTGTAAGTCAGAAAAGGTGGAGTGTTGGCAATTTCATATGGTCCAATTTTATTAGTTCCCAACTCTGTCTCTCCTCTCCGACACTTACCTGAGTCTTCCCCACTCTTTTACTTTTTTATTTATTTTTTATATAAACACTGAATTCTTTGTGTTTTGCTGTTTCCATTCTGGGGAACTTCCTCACCCAACTCCTTTCCCATCACCAGTAAGAGCCTCACAGGAGCACCCACGCTGTGGGCTCCAGGTGCTCGTGGCCTGTGACTGGAGAGCAGTGGGATGACTTCGGTGAGACGCGGGTGACGCTTCCTAGCCACACCCCCTCCACCTGGAGAACTGAGTGGGAAGAGCTGGGTACAGTGGATGTACCACTAAGGACCGGTAGGAGCAGGAAGGGGCCTCCCTGGCAATGTACTGGTTTCTGTGTAGACAGAGCCGGTGAGTACTGGGCCCCAGCACGTTTAAAAAAATATTTTTATTGATTTTAGAGAGTGAGAGAGAGAGGAACGTTGCTGAGAGAGAAACAGCGATCAGCTGTCTCCTGCACAAGCCTGCAGCCCAGGCATGTGCCCTGACCGGGAATTAAACCAGTGACCTCTTGGTTCATGGGTAGAAGTTCAGCCACTGAGCCACACCGGCCAGGTCCCAGCGCTTTGTCCAGCCTCTGGGTTGGAACAGTGTAGGCTCTCCCAGGGACTCAGGGCCTGAAGCAGCATTGTGTGGGGAAGCCAAGTTGTCTGGGCAGCAAGTATGGTCACGTGGACTCTCCTGAGACAGGCTCTCTGGACATGCCAATGTTGTTCATGTTTGAAATTTGTTATTGCTGTAATAAAGTCTAAATTGTTCTCTTATTATGTCCCCAAAGTGAGCTTCCCTTTTGCCATTTTTGAACAAATTATGCAGGTGCTCAGCCCTGTTGGCTTAGATTTCTGGCTTCATAATGCACGCTTGTTAGTAAAGATAGACTGTCCTCCAGGCGTTGTAAAGAGCCCAGGTTTCTCTTCCTCTGGGGAGAAAAACCAGTCAGCTCACCCAGATTCTGCCCGTAGATGACGACCTTTGGAGCTTTCCTCCACAAAGGGGCCTTCTGCCGGAACTACTTCAACTTGCTGGACATGCTGGTCGTCGGGGTTTCTCTGGTGTCCTTTGGGATCCAGTAAGTATTCCGGGGTGTGGGTGCGTAGACACCAGGACTGCTGGGCAGGATGGTTTACATGAGGAATTTTAACATGATTCATAAAGGCTGGGCATCATTTTAATAATCACATTTAGGTACCTGGCAAAGCTTAATGGGTACTTAGGCCAGAAAGCTCTGGGCAGTCCCTGCTTTCTTGTGTTTCTCTTGTCCTTTTCGTGCCCATTGCTAGCTTGGACTTACTGTTCTCTGTGATATTTGCTTTCAACGGAGAGTGAAAGAAGCCAAGTTCTAGTTCAAAGCGTTTTATCCAGCTTCCTCCAGGGCTGGCCCCAGGACCTTGAGGGCATCCTCTTGATTCCCCATCTGTATGGGAGGGACATGGACCTGGTGGCTTCTTGGAGCCCTTTCTACTTTGGGTAGTGAAGGTTCCCTTGATCTCCAGGACATATGACCCTTTTCCTTTGCCCTCTAAAATTTTCAGCTAGGAGGGGCCTGAGACTGTAAGTCAGGGCCCCAGGTCCTCATCACGGCATTTAGAGGTTTCTGGTGGGAAATAGCCAGAGCTGCACCCTGCTTGCCCGCCACACCCGGGAGCTCCAGTGGGAGCACCCAGGGGTGGCCTTGCTTTCCTGCGGACTTCTAAGCACCACTGCTCAGTGTTTCCTACATGGGAGCATGCATGCCCAGCTCTGGGCTAAAGGTGAATTGAGAGGCTCTGTCCCCTCAGATGAAGGACCCCCTCCGGAAACGGCCCTCTAGGGCAGCGGTCGCCAACCGGTGGTCTGCAGACCATGGTGGTCCGTGAGGTCCGAAAGGCTGGCGACCACTGCTCTCGGGGAGTAGTCCCTCTCACCTCCCACCACCACCCAGGGCCAGGGAGCCATGTAGCCGTTATCTTGGAAGGACATTCGAACCAGTATCTTGGCAACTTTTATAAACTCCTGGCTGTGCCTTCCTCTCCAGCTGCAGCCCTTGCCCACTGCCTCCCGAGTAGGTGCTCGGCCACACCCAGCCACCTGCCCTGCTAAGGGAGCTGCACTCTCTCATACAGGACCTGCCCACCTGGCCCTCCCTTGGCCTGCAGCCCCTTCCCCCTTTGTCTAGCTAACCCTCACTCCCCCTAGACTCACCTGGATATCACCTCCCTAGGGGCCTTCCCAAGCTCCCCAAGATGACACTCCCCTCATGGCATCCCCTGTGTGGTCACACCTGCCCCATGGGGTTGTGATTGCCCATCTCACTCACCAAGTAGTGGACTCCTTGAAGGCCAGCAAAACCCAGCATCAAACAGGCTTCCAAAGGTAGAAAACAAGACCAAATAAGCAAAACTGAAAGCCAAGTACTACCTAGCGTTTATACCCCCTGAAAAGAACAAAGCAGATTTCGTCAGTCCTGTGTCTGCCAAGGCCAGCTGTGCAGCTGAGCAGGGCCGCTGTGCGTGGGCCTGGCCGAGGAGGGTCCATGGGTCATAGCCATGCTCACCTGTGAGTCTCAGGGAGAGGTTAGCTCAGCTCCACACGGGACCCACCACGCTGTGTTGTGGTAGTAAAATGAGAGCCAAGTGTGACAGTCTCCGTGTTTCATCCAACTCTAATGCCCTCTGCGTTCTTTCCTCCCGTTTCTCCCCTTAGATCCAGTGCCATCTCGGTGGTGAAGATTCTCAGGGTCTTAAGGGTCCTGAGGCCGCTCAGAGCCATCAACAGAGCAAAAGGACTTAAGGTTCGGGCCTCTCTCCCGCAGGCTGGGCTGGCTTCGGCGGGGTTAGCTCTATTTACTGACTTGGCTGGGCTCGCGCTGGGCTGAGGCCTGATGGATTTTAAAGTGCGTTCACCTCTGAAAAGGACATTTCTACCCAGTGGAGTGTCCTCTTTCAAACCTGATACCATTTTTAAGTGTTATGATTGCCTTTATTTTCATTTATTTAAAATATTTTCTTTATGTAATTACTCAGCATTTATTACTTTTATATTATTAATGGTGTTTACTTTGGTCTTTAAATCTATTCTCATGCAGGTTGTACAAAAGAGGGTTTATGTTTTCCTAAGTTTTTTAATGGGGTGGGAAGTCCTGTGGGCCTGTGTGCCAGGCAGTGCCCCCCCCCTCCGCCCCGTGGTAGGAAACCAAGGTGGGACCCATTACAAGGTGCTCTTCCCAGGCAGCCATGATGCACTGGGGCTAACTCCCCACAGTTAACAGAGCCCCACAAAGTCAGGAAGTCATATGCAGATGCACAGACACATAAACAGTCTCGTCTGGTATTAGTCTCCCCTTCATCCTCTCCCTGCTCTCTCCCCCAGCACGTCGTCCAGTGCGTCTTCGTGGCCATCCGGACAATCGGCAACATCATGATCGTCACCACCCTTCTGCAGTTCATGTTTGCCTGCATCGGGGTCCAGTTGTTCAAGGTACAGGATGTGCCTTGGGGCACGAGGCCCGGATGATCTCTTCAGGGGCAAGCTTGCGTTTGACTCTCTGTGTCTGTTTTGTACTCAGGGAAAGTTCTATCGCTGCACAGATGAAGCCAAAAGTAACCCTGAGGAATGCAGGTGAATGTCCCGCGCACAGGAGTGGGAAATTGGGAAGGACAAATGGAAGGCTTGCAGGATTCGCCTGCGCTGGCATTTCAAAAGGCGTGGGCTCCATGAGGCCCGTGTGCTCAGCCCACGGCTGCAGCGATGGAGGGTTTCTGGGGGTTTTTTGTTTGTTTGTTCTTTTGGTTTGAGGTGAAATTCACATCACATGAAGTTAGCCATTTTAAATCATACAATTCAGTGGCATTTAGCACAATCTCTTTGCGGTGTAAGCACCATCTCTATCTAGTTACAAAGCTTTTTTAAAAAAATATTTTATTGATTTTTTACAGAGAGGAAGGGAGAGGGATAGAGAGTTAGAAACATCGATGAGAGAGAAACATCGACCAGCTGCCTCCTGCACACCCCCCACTGGGGATGTGCCCACAACCAAGGTACATGCCCTTGACCGGAATCGAACCCGGGACCCTTGAGTCCACAGGCCGACGCTTTATCCACTGAGCCAAACCGGTTAGGGCTACAAAGCTTTTCATCACCTCAAAACAATGGAGAGATGGCCTTTGATGTTTGGTATTGACTCTACAAACTAGAGGGGAGGGGACTAAACCCTAAAATAACAATTGAAATGCCCAGGAAAGCTCACCCTACAGCAAGCATGTCAAACTCAAAGGCTAACACAGGCCAAATAAATGAGGCATGCAGCCCGAGGGCTGTGAGTTTGACATACTTGCCCTACTTGCCCTACAGCCACATGGGTAATTTTTCCGCAAACCAGAACTCCCTGGAATTCAGGTGCTGGCTGCCATCTTCTGATAGGTTTCCTGCCGCCCACATTTTGGCCATATTTTCATTCACAAGAACAGGCAGAGGTGAGATAAGGTGGGAAACACTCGTGTCTCTTATCCCAGGCCATGCAAAAGAATGTGAAGGCAGACACGGAAACCAGGGCCTAAAGTCTGAGACTGTGCAGAAGTCCCCGTGTCCCCATCCTTTGATGATGTCCCCAAGGGAGGTCCAGCTGCCTCCACTGGTTTGGGGTTTCTTTTTAGCAGAAGGTGCAGTCAGAGAGCACCAATGTAATGCGCTGGCTCTGCCCCTCCAGGGGCACCAGGCCTGTGGGCTGGGGGTGGAGGGTGCTCCTGGAGTTGAGCAGCTCAGCAACAGTGTGAAGTCACCTTCCTTTCCCCCTCCAAGCCTCACTTCCTCATCTGTAAAACAAAGACATTGACTCCTTCCAGAAATGAAATCCTATGAGAAATATTGTGTGCCAGAAATTATAGAATCTTGGGGGGAAAACTGGGGATATTGTTGGTATAAAGAGAAGGAATTCAATTAAAGCTAAAATGCAGATTAAGAGGATGCCTGGGCTGGCTTCCAGAGCTTATGGAATTCTCCAAGGCCGAAGCTTTTGGTTCTTCCGTGTACATGCTGAGCCCAGTGCATATGAGAAATGCTTATTGTTTGGTCATTTTCATTCGTTATCCGGCATATGCCGGTGGCTGCCTAGTTGCTCTGGAGAATACTCATTAAGCTAGTAGTTACTCGACAGTTATGTGAACTGGAGAGGAGATTGAATACAGGGCAGGAGAAAGAGAAACACAGGCGGAGCCATGCTCAGGTCAGTGGCCTGGCTGGTGGACCAAGCGTGTCGGTGCCTGCAGTGTGGGGATGGGGCAGCTGTGACCGATTTCTCATCACGCCAAGATGACCCGCATTTCTTTTCCTCTCTAGGGGGCTTTTCATCCTCTACAAGGATGGGGAGATTGATAACCCTGTGGTCCATGAGAGGCTCTGGCAAAATAGTGATTTCAATTTTGACAATGTCCTTTCTGCTATGATGGCGCTGTTCACGGTCTCCACGTTCGAGGGCTGGCCTGAGTAAGTACAGAGGGACTCCGCAGGGTGGCGCCTCTTGCCTCAGGGCACTCCAGCCATCCTTCTCTCCTGAGTGAGTCCTGCTTTTCTCGGCAGTTTCAGGCTTTCCCTATGATTTTTAAACTTTGGACCACTTGTCAATCACTTCTTGGCCCACAGGGCCCCTCTGTCTGATTAGACAAAGGATTAAGCTTTGTGGCCAGTCTTCAGGACTCTCGGATTTGGGGAACCAGGAGAGGAGGGCATAGCTCCTAGGCAGGGGCTCTTCTCAGCTGGCTCCTGGGGAGCAGCTCTGGATGGAAATGGGGAGCCCTCAAAGGCATTTGTTTGTCATGCCAACTGCCATTGGTAGCCATGTCAGTAAAGCTAAATAGGGTCACTAAATAGGGTCTTGATAATGTCCTAAGTCATTCATCCACCCATCCACTCATCCATCCATCCATCCACCCATCCACCTACCCATCTATCCATCCATCCACCCATCCACCCATCCACCCACCCATCTATCCACCCATCTATCCATCCATCCATGCATCCACTCACCCATCCATCCATCCCTACTACTGATATGTGCCAGGCGTGGATGGCTGCCATTGTGCCATGTCTTTCACTGAGGCACTCACCTGCTCATTCATCAAATGTGCTTTTGGTACCAGCTCCAGGTGACATGTTCTGCTAGGCACCGTGGGAAAAAACAGTTGTCTCGACATGGTTCCTCCCTTCAAACCCAAATTCAGTTAGTGTGTCAGGTGATCAAACCAGGCAGGAGGGTCTAGTATGTCACAGATGTGCAGAATAGGGTCCTGAAGAGTGGCTAGGGTTTTAATGGGCAGAGTAAGAAAAGCAGGAAGAAGGAAGGAGGTGGAATACCAAAGGAGGGTCTCTTGTACCCTTGCTACTCTCTGCTCTCTGCTGCCCCACCCCACCTCTAGCTCCTGCCACCAGAGCATAGGTACCTAGATGGATTCCTGAATGTCAAGTTCCCAGGCCTAGAGGGACTGCAGAAGGTGGACAGGCTGGTCTTCTCAGGCTGGCAGACCCTCTGGATGCACGAGAGAGCCAGGGAGCTCTGCAGGAGAGCCTGCAGGGAAAGGGCGGCTGGGTGGGGCTGTTCACTAGGGAACTGGTGCTGAGGAGAGAAGAGGCGCGGAGTAAGATCTTTTACTCTACGGAGGTTTTGAGTCTCAGGTTTTGAACATTGTGCTTTAGCAAATCATGGGGGTAGCTGAGGGGAAATGGACAAGGTTAGGACTTGGGGCTCAGAGGAACTGGGCTCAACTCCGGGTCTGCCCCTGAGGAGTGTGACCCTGGGCACTGAGCTCCCTCTCTGAGCTCCCATACGATGGGGTGACAGTGATGTCCGCCTTTGCAGATGGATGTGAAGGTGTGTAGCACAGTGCACCCAGGGGTGGGTGCCCTGGAAGTGGTGACTCTGCATCAGAATGGGGCTGAATTTAACTGGGGGCCTTATAGTGATGTCCCCTCTTCCTGTGGAGTTCTCCCTGGCCTGTATTTAATTCAGTGTGTGTTTCAGTTTGGGGAAGCTCTCTGAGTTCTTTGGAAATCCATGGTTGCTTGCTACTGTCTTTGTCAGTGTGCAGTTTTCAGTTCAGCCAGTGCCTGTGTGAGACGTTCCTCCTCTTCTACCTGGGAATAGGAAGGACTGTGATTGAATATTTGTGAAATCTTTTGTTTCTCATTCCTCCAAGCATCCATCACAAATATATCCCAGCTGCCCCCACCTAAGTGCTGGGCTGACTGGGCCTCACGCTAACCAGGGTGCCTCAGAGACCCGCCTGTGTGTAGGGGCCTCGGGGAGGGGGCTCCCGTGCAGGGTCTGACCGTCAGTGCCATGGGGACATGCAGAAGAGGGACGCCCTGGGGAGGCAGTGGGGTGGGGCTCCCAGACTGGGTGGGGCTGTTGTGCTCATTGGGCCCTTCTGCTCTCCAGGTTGCTGTACAAAGCCATCGACTCGAACGGAGAGAACGTGGGCCCGATCTACAACTACCGCGTAGAGATCTCCATCTTCTTCATCATCTACATCATCATCGTCGCTTTCTTCATGATGAACATCTTCGTGGGTTTCGTCATTGTCACGTTCCAGGAGCAGGGAGAAAAAGAGTATAAGAACTGTGAGCTGGACAAAAATCAGGTTAAAGTCACACACTGTTTGGGCTTCCATCCCTCGAGCAGGAGAGGGATACTTCTCTGTGGATGGTTTCCCCATGCACAGCGGAAGGTGCTGCCTGTGTGTGTGCCTGGGCTTTGGGCCCTGCTCAGAGCACACCCGTGGCCAGTCTGAGTCATTGCTGTTGAAAGTGAGGTTGTCAGATTCAGACTTGACTTTGTTATTGTGGGATCCACCCCCAGACCTGGGCCACCTCTGTGATCACGACCCACCGGTGACAGCTCTCAGTCTCATCTGGTGGTGTGTCCAGAGGCCGGAAGGCACCAGTGATGCTCCCAGAGCTCCTAACGACAGTCTTTTATCTCCTCAACCTCAGCACTGTTGGCATTTCAGGCCGAGAGTTATTGCTGTGCTTTGTAGCGTGTTTAGCAGCATCCCTGGCCTCTACTTGCTAGATTCCAGTAGCACGCCCCAACCCCTGTTTTTGGTGACAACCCCAAACATCTCCAGATGTTGTCAAATGTCTCCTGGTTGAGCACCGTTGGTTAGGAGGAAGTGCGCTATCACACCACAGGAAGAGGCGCTAACTTTAAACTTGGGACTAAGATCGCCCTGGCATCAATCTCTTGTTATCTAGCACCTTGTTTTAACCAACACGATAGAAGCAGGGGCCTTGGCTCTGATTGTGTGATGGTACGAGGGAGCCAAGTAGCCTGCGTCCTGGTCCTGGTCTCCCTGCACCTGCTCAGGGACTGTGGGTGTGTCCCTGATCCCCTTTGGGTCTGGTCTCTTATGTCTAAATTGAGGTCATTCAGGAGCTGCCTGTAGAGGCCCCTTTCAGCCGTAAAAGATTGTGAGCTGGAGATGCTGCTCTGGGAGTTTCCCCGGGCCCTCTATCATTGGCATCTTGGTTTGATGATGACAGAGTGAGCAAGAATAGTCTGCCAGCCTGGGCTTCCTGGGGGAAGTGGCTGTGGTGAGGCAGTCTGCTGTCTCGGCTGCAGCCATGCCCACTGGGGGACATGTGAGGACAGTGCTGGCTTGGTTCCTAGGAAGCTGTTGCTTTGAGTTGTCAGGACTTCGCTGCAGATTCCACCAGTGACAGTCAGGGGGAGGCCTGGCTCCGCTCCTCACCCCCGGCTGGGCAGCACCAGAGCCGAAATTATGTCACCACCGAGATCCAGAGCAGACTCAGATTGGGGGTGGGGGGACTCCCCTGGAGTCACTGTGTGAGGTCATAGCAGGGCCAGGGCCTAGATAGGAGGGAGCCTGTCTGAAGTCAGTTAGAACTGAGTCTAAGCAGAAGAATGGGAGTAGGTCTGGGCCAAGGTGCCAGCAGGGCCTGATGCCAAGCTGTTGGGCCTGGAGGCTCCTTCCGGGCTCACTGCAAAGGGTGGACCAGTCTCAGCCCCAGAGTGAGTGGGGAGGCCATCGTTACTGACCCAGAAGTCTGAGAACAGCAGTCCCTGAGCCTCAAATGCTTGCAGATGGACACACAGCTAGCTCACCATTAGTCACTCACAGTTAACACACTCCGTCCTGAGAGATGACTTGCATGGGTCCATCCTGGAGCAGCTGTGGGGCTCTGGTCTCAGGCAATGAACCAGCCTGTCGGGGGCTTGGGATGTCTGTGCCTCTCGTGACCTGGTCTCCTCTCCTGGAGGACAGTGTGGGCAGGAGAACTGCAGGTCTAACCCGCTGGCGTAGACAACGGCAGGAACGAGAACTGGGGCAAGGCCCACATCTCTGCTTGTGCACCGGGCGACCTCGGGCAGGCAATGTGCAGCTCTGGGCTCAGTTGTGGGTTGTTTGTTTTGGTTAATCCTCACTAGAGGATATTTTTTCCATTGATTTTAGAGAGAGTGGAAGGGAGGGGGAGGAGAAAAGAGCAAGAGAGAGAGAGAGAGAGAGAGAGAGAGAGAGAGAGAAACATGGATGTGAGAGAGCCACATCAATTGATTGCCTCCCCAAGCTCCCCAACTGGGATGGGAACCTGCAACCCAGGTATGTGCCCTTGACCTAAATCTAACCCGCGACCCTTCAGTTCCCAAGCGGGTGCTCTAACCACTGAACCATGCCGACCAGGGCTTGGCTCAGTTTTGTAACAAGTAAAATAGAAGCAGTCTGGGGGATCTGGGCACCCCAGGGAGCTGTGACAACCAGAGGAGGGGATGGAGCTGGGGCCCTTTGTCCCTGATGCAGAGTGGTGTCCACGGGGGCTGCCGAGTAGTTTTCCCCTGGGTCCCGGGTCCCTCCCAGCAGGTGCTGCGCCGGCTCTTTCAGAGCAGGTGGGAGCTTCGTCCTCCCTCAGGACCCCTTGTTGCTCTTTTCTCCCATTGCAGCGTCAGTGTGTTGAATACGCCTTGAAAGCACGCCCCGTGCGGAGATACATCCCCAAAAACCCCTACCAGTACAAGTTCTGGTACGTGGTGAACTCCTCGCCTTTCGAATACATGATGTTTGTCCTCATCATGCTCAACACACTCTGCTTGGCCATGCAGGTAAAGATGGAGGCGCGTGGAGATGGGGATCGTGTCTGGGCCTTCTGCACAGTCCGTGCCCCAGATGTGAGGGTGGAAGGCCAGCCTCTCACCAGAGGATGGGTTTGATTTCTGATGAGTCAGGGCTGTAGTTTGGTCAGAGTCTGGTCTTGGCTAACTGTCATCACGGTGGGAGTTTAAGAGACTGTCTGTACAGCATGGCCATAGGTCACATTTCCGTGGAGCCGGAGCATTCAATTCTGTAACCTTTACTGGGGCTCCTGGGGCCAGGGAGTGGCTGAGGACTGCCGCTCTGTGTGTGTGGAGTTGGACAGACGGGTTCCAATCCTGACTGGACTCCTCACCAGGGTGGGAGGGGCAACCTTGGGAAACTTATTTACATCCCGAGGCTGCTTCCTTTATTGCTAAAATGGGAAGGCCATCATGCCTGCCTCGGATATAAAGTTTATGTTGGATAATTTGTGCCAGGCACTTTGCTCTGGGCCTGTCACCCAGTGTTGGAAAACAACATACAAGTCACATTTTCCTGTCCTCAGGGAGCTCTCAGTGTGCGGTGGGGACCCTCCCGTTCATGGAGTAGTGAGTTTGATCTGCATCACAGCTATTCTCTGCTCACATTGGGGGTGAGGAGTACAACTCACCTCAGCGGACCACACTGGATTACAGTGTATTAACTTTTAATACAATTCTATATATTTAATATAAACGCTATAATTACTAGACTTACTAGTTAACCTTTCCAGTAGTTTATTGTCTAGTTGCATTAGGACAAGAAGCAAAAACCAAGGTCTAGATTCAGTTTTCACACTGACTTGAAGAGCGTGAGCAAGCCAACTCCCAGAGCTGTCTGGAAAATGGGTCTAAAGCAGGGGTGGGCAAACTTTTTGACTCGAGGGCCACAATGGGTTCTTAAACTGGACCGGAGGGCCGGAACAAAAGCATGGATGGAGTGTTTGTGTGAACTAATATAAATTCAAAGTAAACATCATTACATAAAAGGGTACCGTCTTTTTTTTTTTTTAGTTTTATTCATTTCAAACGGGCCGGATCCGGCCCGAGGGCCGTAGTTTGCCCACGGCTGGTCTAAAGACAGCCCGTGACAGATTTCGTAATGCTTTCCTTTAACGTGAGAAACCGTTATGCATGAGAAGGACCATGTGCTGATGTAGGGGGAAGGGGGAAGTCAAGATAATGCTGCCTTTATTGAACATGGAACTAAATGGCATAAAATTTATGCCTAAGCAAATCCTACCTTTATTCATGGACATTTGGGCGGGTTCTGCATTGTGCCTGGGTCATGGCGCTGAGTGTGATCTCTGCCAGAAGGAGGGACAGGCTCCTTTTGTCCTGAGCAGAGGCAATTGATGTCTTTCCCCTTCAGCATCCAGTCATCCTCACCTTGCCAAGGCCCCTGCACTTTGTGGGGAGGGCTTGTGACCTGACAGTGCCAGTGGAGTCACTGGGAGAGGGTGCCTGTGTCCCCAGAGGGCAGTCGCCTGCCGGGAGGAAGGGCTGGGGGCCTCCTTCTGTGAGCCTGGAAGGGGCCTCTGAGAGCTGTTCTTCCGTCTCCGTCCACAGCACTACGAGCAGTCCAAGATGTTTAATGACGCCATGGACATCCTGAACATGGTCTTCACTGGGGTGTTCACTGTCGAGATGGTTTTGAAGGTCATTGCGTTTAAGCCTAAGGTGAGTTGCTGAAACCATTTCACAGAGGCTGTTGCTGAATCACCCCAGAGAAACACCCACTTCCTGTTAGTCTTGTGTCAGTGAATTATGCTGAATTGTTCTGGCCGCTAACTGGGTTATCACCTGCAAACATTAAAATCTGATTAGGGCATCTGGGACAATAAATCTGCAAAAACAAAACCTCATAAAAACAATTCTAAGAAGAAGAAGAAGAAGAAGGGAGGAGAGCATTGGGAATTGGTGGGATGGAGGTTGTTTTGAACCTAGTTTCTGTTTCTAGAACAGCATTATCAGGTTGTCTGCGGGAGACTTGCTTCGTTACTGGAGCACTTTCACATCACCCATCAGAAAGAATTCGGCCCTGATTTTACTTTTAGATTTCTAGGAAAAAGACGTTGGTTTTGTGTGTTCTTGGTCTACAGCATCTTCTTTACCTTTTATGGAAACTTCTACCCGCTGCAGACCTCTCAGAGCCATACCATATGTTTGTTTATTTAATTTAGAAACTTTTAACTTTAAGACAAAACAAGACATGAAATATGTTAAACTGTGTTGGGCAGTTCAGCATATTGTGTCTCCTTTGGGAGGGAGTGGATCCATCTCACATCCCTCAGTGTCTATAAAATAACAGATAGGCAGATAGGACAACGTCAAAGAGCACACCCAGGTCTGGAGTCAAATCCCTGCTCTCCACCAGCTCATCGAACAAGTTCCTTAACCACTAGATGCCTCCGTTTCCTCCGCCATAAAGTGAAGACATGATAGTCCTGTGTCACAGGGTGCTGTGAGGAGGAAAGAATCCCTAGGTGTGCCATGCTTGGGCAAGTGGTACCAGGCTGTAGACGTGTCAGGTGGTCACGGGCTGTAGTACTGTGACTGTGACCACCACCACCAACATGTTCCCTTCAACCAACGATGTTCCCTTGTTCTAAAACCCTGGGCAGAGCAGCAACCCTGGCTGAGCTGTAGGATGTTTGACCCTCAGATTCTTTCCTAGCAAAGCCCCAAATTGTCAGTCGGGATGACAAGCTCAGCGGCCCAGTTATTGGTTCATCTGTATGGAAGGTACCTGGCAAGACTAATTTATTCTTGGATTATGAAATGATTTTACGTACTCCTTACTTACATGGAATTCTAATTCAAAACTGTTCCTTTCTTTAATTTGAATTAATTTCTATGCGATCTTTGTCAGCTCTTTGTGGACCCAAAAGAAAGGACACTAGTAAGTGACCAGTGGGGGCGAGTGAAGTGGGGTCAGACTTGGCACCTTATGCATGGCCAGGTGTTCTTTCCTGTGACTTGTCCACACCTCCACATACAAACGTTCCCTCCTTTTCCAAATTCATCTTAATTTCCTTTGGAAATTTTGGTTTGCTTCCCTCTCACCTTTGAATAATATTTGTCTGGACTGATGGAAGTTTGCAAAATAACAACATCAGAAGTCCTTGAGAAATGCAACACGGATCATATCTATGGAGCATTTCCCAGATCCCCACACCACGTCTCCCCTCCCCTCACTGGTGATTATGCTCTGAGGTTTCCAAAAGCTTGTTTGTTCTAGGCTGAGAAGGCCCACTTGCCCATGGCATGTGTGTGAGTGTGTATCAGTGTGTGTGTGCTTGTGTCAGTGTATGTGTTTGTGTGAGTGTGTGTGTGCATGTATGTGTGTATTTGTGTATGTGAGTGTATGTGTTTGAGTGAATATGTGTTTGTGTGAATTTGTGTGTGTGTGAGTGTGTGAGCGCATACCTGTAGCAGGCCATTGCATCAATGGCTCGTTGCACGCTACTCTGCCCAGTAAACTGCTGATACCAAACCTGGGGTGCGGGGGGAGTTCAGTGGCCTGTTAACAGACTGGAGGTATAAGGGAAAACTTATAATCAGTACTGATCAACCAGAGTTTTAAAATGAGTGATTTCCGATAGACATTGTGCTGCTTTGTAGTTTTACTTAGTAAGATATTTTCATAGCATAAGACAACCTCAGGTTGCAATTGAGAAAGTTTGTCACAGCGATAGCAGTCTCTCTGTGCTTGGGGGAGCTCTGCCACTCGGTCACCAAAGTCAGCAGGAAGGGCTTTATGCTGCTTTGTGCCTGGAGAGTGGGGGACAATCAGTTCACCAAGTTACATGCAAAGCTCTGCCTAGAGCAATCAGTTCACCAAGTTACATGCAAAGCTCTGCCTAGAGCACTCCCTGGCTTATCCTCATCTTTTCATGGTGAGGTGAGGGCCCTCCCTCCCGGGTTCAGGGACCCTGTGAGAGGCTGCAGGGGGAAGATTCTTTGAGGAGATGGCCACATGGACGGAGGAGTGGGAAACCTGGCCCATCAGTCTCATAGGAAAGTGTCTCCTGGGAGGAGCTTTGTAACAGGGACTCCGCATTGAGGGCCACACCTTCTAGGAGAACTTCAGCATCTGTGCCAGGGCAGCCTGGGTCACAGCTGTTTGTCATTCAGATACAGGCAGTGAGCCGAACAAAACCCTTCTTGGTAGACGTAGGAGGAAAGGTTAAAGCAAATCCAGAGGCCTGACCCTGGGGACTTCTTTCCTATTCAGACCCTGACGGAGCGATGGGGCCTCCTGAGAGAGAGCACAGTTAGAGGGACATGGTCCCAGGACCACAAGGGGAGGTCACCCGGCCGCCATCAGCAGGAAGGGCTGAGGTGGGCAGACAGAGTAGGAAACCCAAAGCTGGGTGCTTCCTGGTGGGGAGGCAGGCTCACGGGTGGGCAGAGTTGAGTTGGTGAGGTAAGAGTGCAAGGCCTGGGGTGGGGCAGGAGCCAGGTGAAGGGGGCAATAGGGAGAAAATAGGGAACATCTGTAATACTCTCAACAACAAAAATAAATTTTTTTTAAAAGAGTGCAAGGTGGTAAGAAGCCACAGAGCCAAGGATTAGGGCAGCAATTTTCAACCGATGTGCCACACAAATTTTTAAAACTTGCAGTACCCGGCTGAGCACTCACCTCTTTCCCTTAGATTGTCAACAAAACAGTGACAACAGCCAGCACAGCAATAGCAGTCCAGTGTGAATGAATCAAAATTATCCCTATATTTTTATTTTTTGGTGTGCTGCAGAAATTTAATAATTAGTTTATGTGTGCCATGAGATGACAAATGTTAAAAACTGATGGACCAGGACAAAGCAAGCAGGCTGTTTAGTGTGTTGTGTCAGCTTCCAAGGGAAACCCACTTGCCAGGCATTGACCTCATGCACTTCAGGTTGTGCTGTCGACTTGGAGCTGACCTTGGAGTGGACTTGGGAGTGGACCATGCAGCCCTAGGGTTTTGAGTGAGCAACAAGCCCCGTGCCCCTGGCCTTGCCCTCCAGTGTTCCCCAGGAAGCCCCTGGAATCCTCTGACAAATTCTCTTGTTCCAAGGAGGGGGATGAAGGGCCTTTTCCAAAGTATTGGCTCCTACAGGTAAAGATAACAGGTCATGTTTGAGGCTCCCTCTTTGTGGTCTAGATGTCACCCACCTGCTGTGTGGTCCAGTACGTGTTCCAGCCAGGTTGCTGGCCGTGGTCATGGACTTATCCCCAGAGAGCCACATGTTATTCTCAAGACTTAGGCGATCAAGTATTTTGATCTTGCTTCTGCCTCAAAAAGGGCTATTTTATGTGCCTAGCCACTTGGGCTTGGCAAGAGTAAAGAGTAGTTAGGTTGGGGAAAGAAGTGAGTTTTAGTGCTGTCCACATGCTTCCGTGCAGAGCTAACGCACAGCAGACACTGGGCATCTGGTCCCATTCTGGGAGGCAGTCCCCACCCCAGGATCCCCACCCCAGGGTCCCCACCCCAGGGTTCCTGCCCTAGGGTCCCCTCCCCAGAGTCCCAGCAGGCGTGGGGCTCATTAAGAAAACCTTAGCAATCTTCCTAGCGGAAGTTCTCCACTCACCTGGTAAAATGTGTACCTGCCTAGGCCATCACTTGACCTTTGCAAAGGCTTATGCTAGTTAGAAAGCTGCCAGCTACAGCTTCTATAAAAAGTTGGCACTATGGGTCATACCTTGAGTCCAGTGACCCCCATAACATCCCAATTTCTCCTGCCTCCTTTTCGAGTTATTCTGACTGCTACGCCATCTCCCTGTCTCTGGCCTCAGCCCCTCTCTGTTCGTCTTCCACAGACTCCCTTTGTGAACCCTAAGCTGACTGTGCCCTCTTCCAATGAAATTCTGGCACTGGCCACCTATTATATGAGAAACATAGTTTTCTTAGTCTCATGTCAAAGTCTCCACTAAACCTCGGCCCATTTACGTTTCTGCCTCATTTCCAGCCACTCTCTTCCTGTCATTCCTTCTCCACACCCATCCTTAGCTGTTTACATGCTAGACTTTTCCATGGCACATACTTCTGCCTATTATCCTTTAGCCTGTCTGAATTGTTGGCTCCTCTGTGACACTGTCCCTACCAACCCAGCCCGAGCCAGCCCCTTCCCACGCATTGTGTGGTTAGATGCCTATGGTGCATTAGCATCATCATTGCTACTCCACTCCTCTCTCTCCACTAGCGATGCCACAGGCTGGGTCTTCTCTGTCTCCCACGATGCCTGCTGCAGGCTGGTTACTCAATAAAGACTAGGGATTGTAGACAGGAATGAATGGATGAGCCTGTAGGGATACCCTCTTGGCATAAGGGCACCTGGTTTTCTATCACGGGATATTTGGGCAGAGTAGAGGTGGGCAAAAGTGAGCATGTTGTCCTGTAAACCCTCACTTGACCTTTGCAAAGGCTTCTGCTAGTTAGAAAGCTGCCAGCTACAGCTTCTGTGAAAAGTTGGCACAACGGGTCATACCTTGAGTCCAATCCTGCCCTGGCAGAAACTGGTAAATGACCTGGCTGCCATGGTCAGCCACAGGAGCAGGTCCTTTGTAAAAGGCTTCGTGAGATCTGCAGATGGGAGAGAGACTCTGGGCAGCAAATAGACCCTGGGCTTGGGCTCCTGTTTCCCGTATGCAGCCATTCCACACGCTTCCTCCCCCGTGGTGCCAAGTCTGTGCTACCTCCTGGCTTCAGACCAGACATCGACAGGCAACCGGGATAGAATTCTTGGACTAATGGAGTCGCCTGGCCTCAAGGCCCACATTAGTCTGGTTTCTGATTTTAAATGCCTGGAGTCAGAATTGTTTTGGGTCATAGATATTATTGCAAGTGGCTGATTTGCTGGATCTTTTCAAGCAGGTGGCGCTGGACAAAAGTAATCTAAGGGCTGACTCTGGCTGGGCTGGTAGGGGCTGCTGGTTCCACTTGAGGGCCCCGGCCTCAGAACTCGGCTGTAGGAGATGTGCTGTGTGTCAGTGGCCGAGGGAGATGGAGAGGGCCCTCTGTTGGAAGCCAATGTCTCATTTTCGGGTTATACCAGACTTTGGTGGGAAAGCAATGGGGGACTGAGTCATGCTCACTTGACAGTGATTTTATTACAAAGCGGCTACTAAACTGGGAAACAGGATGTGGGAAGAAAGGCAGGCTGGCATTTCCTGCCTCCCCGGGACCTAGCAGAGCCACCTGCTCGGGGCCGGAGCCTTTGCTTCCTGCCACCTGTCCCAACTCAAGCCTCCTGTCGCCTGGGTTAGGGGTGTAGCCTCTAGGGTTCTGTGAGTGTGAGGGATCCTCTGGATAGAGAGTTGAAGGGATTGCCCAAAAGTTCCAGGAGCGCCAATGCCAGGCCCCTATCCTGTCAGTTGAAAGTGATTTTATATAGCATCATGGCTACAGTGGCCCCATTGGACAATAGCTTGTTCCCAGTTGATGGGAATGGTCCCAAGGTGAATATTGATAATTCTGGACAGCGAGAGAGGAGCTGTTCAGGAGTAAAGTCCAAAGTAGGCCATAGGGCTGGCACCCAGCACAGTAGTGGGCGTGGCCTCAGGTAAATGACGGGCTGTAACAGGTGGAGCTGAACGCATGGGCAGTGAGCTGCGGGCTGTCTGGGTGCCGGGACGGACAGGAGGGGTGCTTGGCTTCTGCTCTGTGTGTACGCCAGAGGCCCAGCAGTTATTGGAGACCATGGATGATTCTGAGGCACCCATCCCTCTAGAGGGGAGGGAAGGCCCACCACACTCTAGCATTTGAGTTGCTAAGTCCCGAAGGAAAGGGCAGGTCCTGCCCCTCAGCGGTCTGCCAAGGCCGCTCCTCAGCCACTGAGTGTTACCCATCACAACAGTGCACATCGTTTCAAAGAGAACTTGTACCCTTCAGTCCTGGGATGCCCACAGCCTCACTCATGTGCCCTCTGACGCTGCCGGTCTGGAGACTTCCTCGCTGAAGTAGGCAGTGAGTTCCTGTGTGTCCTGGCGTAGCTCTTTATCTCATCCCCGACCAGCATGACTGCATGTTAGCAGCACTAGCCTAGTCCTCAGAGCGGCCCGTCTTTCCTCGGTTTTGCCGGCCAAGAATCACACGCTGTGAGAAGAAAACTAGAAGGCGTAGGATGTGGTCGGTCTCTCTCTCTCTCTCTTTTTTTTTATATAGGGATCCGCCACAATTTCTAAGATGTTGTTAATGAGAGAGGCGGTACATGTGTGGAGCTAGGAGTACACAGGATATTGTTGTACCATCCTCTCAATTATTTTTTTTTCAGTTGGTATTTCTTAAGTAGACCTTCCCATTAGACTTGATCCACAGGCCATCAGAGTTGTGCAGGTGAAGTCCTGTTGCTGACTTGCTATGGGACTGAGATGGGGCTGGGAGGTGGCCGTCGATGAGGGTAGCACATGGCTGAGGCATGATGATTGTAAGAGGGGAGGAGAGAGGTAAGGATGGGTCAGAAGTCATGGCAGTTGGGTGGGAAAATCTTACTCTATTTAAGATGAAATTTTGTAAGAACCCAAATCAGTCAGTGTCATAGCTCCCCCGTGCATGCCCTGGAGTGATGGACAGAAACCAAAATAAAGGTGCCTTCTCCCGCTGTTAGGACAGCCAACGTGCCCACGTTTTCTGTGGCGTCATAGGGGTGGGAGGCGTCAGGAGGTGGGGAAAAACCTGGTGGTGGTTTTGATGGATGGAAGGCATCCTCTTAGCCTGGAGGGAGGGAGGGAGGGAGGGAGAGCTGGGTGCAAGGAGGAGCTGCTGGCGACTTGGGGGCTTCCCTTGGTGGCAGTGGGAGCCCTTGAGCACCTTCATCATCCGTCAGTGCTCTTTTCCTCCACAAACAGCCTGGCTTCCCCAGAGTGAGCTCCTCTGCCACGACTCGGTGCCTCAGACCTGTGTGCACCCCGGTGCCCACCTCCCTGCCAGCCATTGCCCGTGTCTGTCCCTGCTGGACCGAGAGCGCTGAGAGACAGGGATTGTCTCAGGCACGCCCTTTGTAATTCTTGTTGGCTGGCGAGGAGGGGGAAGGGTTACTGGTTTGTTTTAGGGGCACAGAAATGAGAGAGTGTGGAATGTCTGCTGACAGTGTTCTTTAAGTGGAGGAGAAGCGGTGGGTGACTGGGTGGGTCCCTGTGGAAGGAGTCGGAGGGGCTTGCTCTTCCATCAGCATATGAAGGTTTGGGCCTGTCACCCTGGGTGTCAGGGCAGAGTTGCCAAATGCCTCCCTGTGTCCTGCAGATATTCTGCTCGGGTTGTGCTGCTCAGGACCATGGGTCTGCATTGTGTGTGTGTGTGCATGTGTGTGTGTGCGTGCGTGCATGTGTGTACGTGTGTGCGTGCATGTGTACATGTGTCTATGCGTATGGGCAGCCTCTCTCACACATGCAGGCGCACACCATCCACTGTGTCCCTTTCCACTGGGCAGTAGTATTGCCTCCCTTTGGCTTCCCACCCTGGTTGCCAAGGGTGCTGCGGGGCCTTGGATGTGTGCCCATATGGTCCGTGTGGCGTTTCATTCACACATGCTCATAAATGTCTGCCCCCTGCCTGCTCTGTCCAGGGGTATTTTAGTGACGCCTGGAATACGTTTGACTCCCTCATCGTAATCGGCAGCATTATAGACGTGGCCCTCAGCGAAGCCGACGTGAGTATGCGCCCGCCCGCGGCCGCCCGCCTCTTGCCCTTCTTCTGTGTACATCCCGCTCCCCGCCCGCACTGGCATCACCTGGACAAGTCACAGACCCCAGCCTCACTTCACCTAAAACCAGGAGTTTCCCAGTAGGAGCTGCAGAAAGGCTTTACAAGGCAGAGCCCCAGGCTGGGCCTTTTTAGACACAGACCACCTTGCGGAGGACGGACTGTTCTGCAGCGTTACCCAGGGCACCGGTAGGCAGGGCAGGCGAGGCGTCTCTGACTGTGCTTGTTTTCTGTATCAGCAGTGATCTCCAAGGTGATGTATCTATAACATGTTTGTTTCAGGGCAGTTTTTCAGGTAGCCGGGTGGCATAACGCTAGAATGTTCCCTGTTGATAACACTGTCCTTTTCTTCTTTTCTCCTGTGTGCTTCCTCTCCTCTGTGGCTGAATGCTTGCCCTAACAGCACTATTTCACTGATGCATGGAACACTTTTGATGCCTTAATTGTTGTTGGTAGCGTCGTTGATATTGCTATAACTGAAGTGAATGTAAGTAGCAAACTTTGTGTCCTACAACGTCATTGTTTTCTCGTTAAGTCTGACATAGAGGAGACCAGAAACGAACCCCCTCGCCCGCCCCCCACCCCCCACCCCAGGTTTCTCTGTATGTTTTAGAAATTCAGGCACACATTTCTCTTGAAAGATTAAGACCAATTTTGGTCTCCCCACCCTCACCCCACTCGCTTCCCCTGAAAGAGACGGGGAAAATAAATGTAGAATGACTGTTTTGGAGCTAAAACACTTTAATAGAATATCTCGTTACAATGTTAAGGGCTAGGAGTTATGTGAGTGCGCACATTAGCACGTCACCTGCCTGCTTTGTGCCTCAGTTTCTCCAGCTATAAAATGGAGTTCATAGTGTGTGCCCCGGTACCCACTGTGGTTCTGCGAAGGCACGGGAGGGAAATCCCACAGCTGTGCCCTGAGCATGTGGCCGTTGCTGCTGGTGTCCTCACGTGCCCTGTCCCGTGTCTGCTGAGTCCAACTGGTGGCACTGGGGCACGTCCCCATCCCAGCTCCCAAAATAGTGATGCAGCTGGACAGCTGCCCAGGACCAGGGGAAGGAGGCCTAGTGTGCATCTGGGGTGGAGGGAGTCAGTACTCCTTTGCTGCCCTCGGTTAATCTTTTGATGAGGGGCTAAGCAGCATGGTAGGTGCAGCGGCCCTCCCTCCAAGAAGCATCCCAAGAACCCCCCTCCAAAATGGAGAGGCTTGAGAAAGGGGAGCCCCACCTCCTGCCGGCTCCTCTCGGGTCTGACCCTGGGCGAGATCGATGGGCCTGGGGCAGGCAGAAATGGCCGTGCCCACCTGGCCTGTCCCAGGTCATCCGCCGTCTTCGTGGGTGTCCAGTGTGTGTGCCAGGTTGTGTCGAGTCCTTCGTGGGGACCGCTGTGCAGTGCTGGCTTCCTGCTCCACATCCCCAGCCTCGCCACTTCCCACCCTCGGCTGCCACGCTCTGCCTGGCTGACATCGGCAGGATCGCACGGTCCATCCTGGTGCCCAGACAGCCTGTGTCAAATAAGGACAATGAGAACCCTTTCTGCCACCTGTTTGGGGCTGGGCTGATTCTGGAGAGCAGAACAGTGGGACATGCAGTCCCAAGGCCTGGTGGTTCTAGTCCTGGTCCAAACGACCTGTTGTATCTGGTCCTTGCTTCTTTCTTGGGTCAATTGGAGTGAATGAAACCTGTTCTCCCTGCTTCGTAGGTATGTTGTGATAAAATGATATGACTATTTGTGAAAATACTTGCTAAAAAGCGCAAAGTGGTAGGGAGATTTCCCTTGCAGTAATGAGTGAAATGGACTAAGACATTGGCATGTGCATGAATGTGTGACTTAAGCCTCATAACACCCAAATCCATGCCATGACAAGGCACAAAATGGCATTTTACATCCCCTAACCTCCATAAGCCCAGACTTAGGAAAATTTCACTTCATGTGAGATGTTCCATACATCAGCTATAAAATTGCCATTCATAATGTATAAGTTAGTCTTGGTCATACAGTCATCTGATGCTAATGGGAGAACAGCAGGACCCTAACTGGGCTGCCGCTGGGCTCTCTCCGAGTTAATGAGCAGACATCTGCCTGCTTCGTCATCTTGTAAAAGGCACTTATAACTTACATCACCGTGTACTGCATGGAAATTCTGAAGCAGACGCTATGGAAGTCAGAGGTGGTCTGTAATGGAAGCGAAAATGTAATAAACTACACTTTCAGTAGGTCTCCCTAGAGCGCTTGGGGCTGCAAGCCTCGTGCCGGGGTCAGGGGGTAAAGGCTTAGTTTCTGGGCACCAGGATGTGGCCAAGGCTTGTTTACTCGGTGAACAAGCCAGCTCTCCAATGCCGGACCCACCTGCTGGCTGGCGGGGTGTGGCACCAGTTCGTGCAGCGACAGCACCTGCCCAGCTGCCTGGCTGCCTCTCCCTGTGCCGTGCGCAGGAGCCCACTGCTTCTGTCCCCGCTGGCCCAGCCTCGCTCATCAGTGTCTCAGTGTTGTGCTCCTTCATGACCGTCATTAGTCAGGTCTCCAGAAGCCCACACTAAGTTTTCTAGTTAGCATTTGACACCAGGGCACCTGCACAGAACAGGCTGGCATTGGGCCCATTCCTGGCATTCAGGATCACACAGGTAATCATTGACATACCGTCCTTTCAGTCAGTGACTTTTTTCCCAGCCAGACGTGGGTTGAGGCCGAACCTTCCTCAGCGGGTGGCAATGCCAGCTCTGTGCCGTGGGCCAGTAGAGGGCCACGGTGGGAGCTCTCAGCATTTCTGTGTGAGGCCTCAGTGCAGAACGAATGCTCCAGCCACCTTCTCGTTTATTCAGTCTTTCAACACATGTTTATTGCACATCTACAATTCTCAGACCATAGGTGAAGCTTTGGGGAGGCACAGAGATAAACGAGACCGGGTGTCCTTGACCTCTGATGGTATAGCTAGCTCAGCGGGGCTTCTGACTCCTGTACCCCCTCGCCCGCATCTGCCACGTCCTCCAGAGTAGCAGCACCTAGTGTGTCTCTTAGTGGCCTGTCCCCAGAGCTCCTGGGTCAGCTGAGCATGAACGCTCTTGGTCCATTGTTGGCTGTTTTTAGCTGCCATACGTCATCATTATTTGCAATATTAACTTGCTGTGCTCTCTCCCCCAACCTCTGTTGATCTTTATTTTCTGTTGCCTAATTGATTTTCATGTTGGTTTTATTTTTAGAAAATTGTAGCGGCAAGTATATATATACATATATACGGTGAAGTCATTAAAGCAAGCGCACTTTAAGACTGTATACTTGTTTTTGGCTTCCCCACCTTTGGTTTTCGCTGAGTTTCACAGGACATGCTGTTGGTCATGGTCATCTAAATTGTTTCCCGCTCACCTTTTGTTGTCTCCAGCCTGGGCCTGAGCCGAGGCCATCCTGGTCAGTCATGCTTGGCCCTGTGACTTGCCAGCAAAATCTTCAGGAATGAATGATCCGACCTGGAAATGAGAAACCGAGCTTGCATTGTATTCTTTGCAGAAACATTTTGGATGGCCCTTTCCGTTGTCCTGCCTGCATGCTCACCCAGCCCTCTCCCTCCTGTCGCCCACCCGTGGCCCCGGCCTGCTCTGTCATGGTTTCATCTCTCTCATGGACTCGTCTCCATCACTTTCATCGCCACATCACCAAGCTGCTAAAATGTCAGACGATGGCTGGCAGGCTCACTTTTGCTCCCTCTCAGATGCCCGTTTGCTCTTTGGTGAAATGCATCCTGTTCTCCCTAACCTGAGAATGGCTGCTTTGCCATTACCATCATTGCTGGGGGGCAGCGTACTTATGTAGAACCCACGTCTGCCTTTTTATTACCTACAGAAGAGCATGTCAGAGGTCAGTAGGGAACCCACTTCCAGGGACCCTAGAATTGTCCCTGGCTTGTCAGGGACCCAGTTCGGACCAGGTATCCAATAGCTGCAGTCAACTTCTTGTTCTGAGCCCACAGTCAGGTTGTCCAACCCCCACCCCCCCCCCCGCCATTCCATACGCTCACCCTTTTCTGGGGACCAGGTTGCTGGTTTCTGGACACAGACTCAGCAAGCCAGGTCAGAAGTCATCAGAGGGAGGGCCCCCCCACAAAGACTGGGTTCTCCAGGGCACCTCAGGTTAACTGGTTCTGGGATGTTGGTTTGTTTCCTGTCTGAATTAAAAAATTGCATCCTTTCAGTTTTTCCAGCAAAAGGTGGGAATTAATTCAGAAAGTGCAGACTGATTCCTTTGGTTGCACTTGTTGGGGGCTGACCCTGAGCCTGCATCTCAAGAGCCTGCCTGAGAGCCCTGTGGGAAGGGGCTGGGCGAACATCAGGAGAGCCCCAGGGACCTCGGGAGCTTCCTGACCCAGCATATCGTTTGGCCCCCCGAGGCTGTGGATCATCTCTCTGGAGGGGTCCCAGCTGATGACTGTGGCATCCCAAAGGAGCCCCTGAGGTCATCTAGTCCAAGCCGTGAGATAACACTGGAATCCCCTCTGTTGGAGACTGATCACGCAGCCTCTAACAGCTGCCTGGGGAGCAAGTCCTTGCCCCGTCTGGGGTGTCCAGTGGTTGATCTCCGGGTCCAGCAGTGTCTTCCTCCACTCCTTGTGAGGAAGATGGGGTGGAGTCTAATATGTGCATACAAGTACTGAACCCCCTCAACCTCCAAAGAACCCATGGTCGGCTCTAACAGCCCCGGTGGGCTTTCCTAGGGCTCCCACTCTGCAGGGCCGATCCGTACCTACAGGGAGAGATAGCTGGTGTGGGCGGTCTGCTGGAGATGTGGCCCAGCTTTCCCCTGGGCAGGACTGCAGTTCCTGGCTCTGGCAACACGTTAGTTAGAATCACCTGGAAGCCCAAAGCTTAGGCACCCCTCCCCCCATCAATGAAATAAGAATCTTTGGGGCAGGACTTAGCCATCAGATTTCGTCAGTGATCCCTGGGCAGTCTCGCCCGGGGTAAGAGCTGGCCTGCCCTTTCTGCAGGCTGGCCTTTGTCGTGTGAGCAAAGCCATCCTCAGGGGCTTCCAAGGTGTAAGATATTTTAGCAGCTTGCACTGTCCCTCGTGCTGCCAGCGACACCTCCCCCGAGCAGCCTCCGGCCCAGTGTGGCCGCTCGGGTGCACGCCGCTTGATGTGCTGTTTGTTCTTGCCCTCCTCCCGTGCATGTTGTGCTGCCTTGTCCCCCCACAAATGCTGTCTCCTCCTCCTCTTTGCTTTTTTTTTAAAAAACAAAAGAATATCCATGGTTTCAAGTCCATAGCCCAAGATTTGTCAACTTCAAAGACATCGATTGAAAGAGAGATGGGCACTTGGAAAGTCAGGGTGGCTGCTGACTTACCCATGTCAGAAGGAAGGGGGCGGTGCAGGGTCTGTCAGACTTGGAGCAGGACAGAAGCAGCAGCAGAAGGGGCCTGGCCAGAGCAGGTGGCCAGGAAGCGTGTCTTCCCCACCCGCAGGCCCAACTCACAGGCTGTGTATGGACATTTCAAGTGTATGCTGCAGAGGGCTGTCTTATGCCCGCTCAGGTCCCCTTGGCATAGGCGTCAGAGGTGTGCACAGGCATACACACTCACACACACTCACACACTCACACACACACTCACACACTCTCACACTCCAGCTGCATGGCTGACCGAAAGCCTTCCTGCACACATTGGGAGACACCGAGAGCTCAGCAGAACTAATTCCTTCATTTGTTCAAGTCTTAAGTTGAATACCACCATCTGTCCCTTTCAGGAGATGTCAGTTGTTTGAGGTGAGATGATAGAAGAGGAGAATAAAAACGGTGACCTGGGGCTTGGGCAGACCCACTGCAGAGTTCACGTCCTAAGCACCCCAGGTGGCCCAGGAGCCCCTTTGTACAGTATCAGACCTGTTAGTCCTGGGTGTGCAATCACGTTGCTGAATTTCAGTTGTGATGGGACGTGCCCAAATTTTTCCAGGAGTTTTGTGGAATTTTATTTTTGGTCTTAAGAGGCAGCTGTTGACAAGAGTGAGGCTTCAGAATGGAGCCGTGATGGTCCCTGTATCCCTGGGGAGGAGGACCCATCAGATCAGAGTGCGCGTCCACGGCGCACACAGCCCTTAGCTGCACCGAGGCACCGTGCGTGTGGAAAGGCTACCTAGGAGCCGAAGTGCACGCAGCAGTGCTGGGCCCCAACCAGAAGGGCCTCCTTGCCTTGGGGGTCACCTGGTAGACCAGCTGCTTCCGCAGAGGTGCCACTCCTGAAGGGAAGCGAAAGACCCTCATTCCCCGGTTCTTGTTCAGCCCTCCCTGTTTAATGTAAAGATGCCTCCTGATATTTGCTACAGTTTTCTTACATCCTCATTGCGTTTTCTGAAGCACTTATCGAGCATCGAATAAGTGCCAGATCCCATGCTGGGCACTGAGTGGAGTGAGGCAAGGTCCTTGCCCTCTGGGGGCTCCCGGCCTGAGGGGGAGGCAGTGATACAGGGCGGTGAGTGCTGTGATTCTGCACCCCGGGGCCCCAGCTCCAGGCGCCCCGCCAGACCTCTGCTGGGGCAGAGCTGCCGAAGCTCAGGGCAGGCGGGTCCTGAGCTGATGCTCCCCAGTAGTCACACACAGCTGAGCTTTGTCTCCCTTATCAGCAGTCTGAGCTGCCGGTGGGCAGTGAAGGGAAAATAGATCTCCTGCCCCCACTGGCTCAGTCTGTCCAGCTCCCCAGCAGCCTTGCCAGAGATGGCATCATGGGACACACACTGTCCAGGCGTGTGGCCCCAGGATCAGAGTGTGGTCCAGGGCGCCTGTGGGCCTCAGGCAGCTGCCACTCCATTCGCCCCGTTTGGTAGAGTCATTCTGTTCCTCGGAGTTTGGTTGGCCCACTGCAAAGCAGTGAGTTCTGAGACCCACAGCTCAGATGCAGCAAAGAGAGCCAGGCTCCCCAGAAGACACACAGAGAACCCCACTCTGCATTCTGACAGAGGGACAGCTGAGGTCTCACAGCATTATCGTTCCTGGGTGCCTGTCAGCCCTGGAACCTCACATCCTGGAGGTGACTTAGAAAGGAGTGTGAGCCTGGGTCCATGGCTGCCCGCCCTCCAGTCCAGTTCCAAGCAGAGTCCCTGGCATTGTCTCAGGGAGGGAGCAGGTGTGTCGTCCTAAGACATTAGCCACACATTTTTTAAAGGGGGGGAGGGGATGCCCTCCCGGACCACTGCTTCCTTCCCAGTTCATTAATTCCTGTTCAATCTTTGATTTCTTAAAGCCAACTGAAAGTGAAAATATCCCTGTCCCAACTGCTCCACCCGGGGTAAGACCAGCGACTAGTGCCCAGGGGCTGGGCCTTTTCCTCGAGTTTATTTGGCCATGTCGAGTTTCCCCAGTGTTTCTGTATTCTCCATGATTGTTCTTCCAGAACAGTGTCTGCAGTGGTTTGCATTCATCATCAGTGTCCAGTACTCTTGACCAGCCCAGCATTCACCTCTTAACACACTAGACCACGTGGACATGCATGTGCTGTGTGGACGCAGTTTTCCACGCCCTGTGTTGTTAGCATGTAACTTCTCCTTTCATATCATGCCTTTCAAGGTGAAAAGGCCCTAGAAACACATCTTCAATTCTTACGTCTGTCACCTGTGTTTGCATCTGTTGCTGTTTTTCTGAAAGTGTTGCATGTTCTACTTTCCATTGGGTTTGACCTCTCCATGATAACCCTTCAGAACTCTGAAGAGAGCAATAGAATCTCCATCACCTTTTTCCGTCTTTTCCGAGTGATGCGATTGGTGAAGCTTCTCAGCAGGGGGGAAGGCATCCGGACGCTGCTGTGGACCTTCATTAAGTCCTTTCAGGTAAGAGCCGGGCCACGGGCTTCTCTTTGTCTCTGAAGAGCCTATGCAAGTCAGTGATTGTCCTCCATCGTGGCAGATCCAGACTCTCTTCTGCATGACCACTGACCACCTAGGTCACATGACTGCCCGGGTCACATGACCACCTAGGTCAATAGAGAATATGGAATGCTGGAGAAACCCGACCCTTTGTTACTTGGGTAAATGAAATAGGATTACCTCCTTAAAGGAAGCAGAAAAGAAAGCAGTAAGGACCTGCGCCTGAGAGTTCTGCACCATTTCCAACTCTGAGAGATGTGGAGCCTCTGAGTACTCAGTCTGGTCCTCCCCGGGTCCGGTGGTAAATGGTGGTGTCTGAGAGCGTGCCGGGTCCCAGAAGACCCCAGAACCCTCACAGCCTCTTGCTAGGGTGGCTTCTCCTCATACGGCTGCAATAGTCCTGTCAGCTGGTCTAGAGACGAATCAGGGACCACTTCACCAGGGCCAGCACATCTCACCAGTGTCTTAGCCAGTGCCTGGGAGGGTAACGGAGTTGAGGACACTTAGGCATAAGCCAGGTCTCATCATCATTTGTGATTCTTCAGGCTGGTCAGCCCAGTTCTAGTCTATTCCTGGACAGAACCTGGCTTCTCCCGTGCCTTCCAGCACCCCACCCGGTACTCGAGTCCTCTGGACTGAGAGCGGTATAGATTCTTGTTAGAAAGGTACACCCATGTAGGGAATTTGTAGATAGGCACAAGCATTAGAGAATGAATCTTATATCTTGTTTTATTATTATTATTATTTGACTATTTTAATTCAAAGGTAATAAATGCTCACATTAACAAGGGAAGCGATCCAAAGATATATAAAGAAAAAGTCACACTGACCCCCACCACCTCTGAGGAGACCAGCATTGACATCCCAGGAAGCGTTTTCCCACAGTGGGTAGGATGTGAACACGTAAAGAGGAGAAGGGAGTAGATCCAGGACCTCAAAGAAGGAAAATCACAAGTCCGGTGGGGAAATGTAGGAGGAGCCAGAATGCAGCTCTGAGACAGGAAGGCGGAGCGGGGCCTGAGGCGGGTGAGCCTGGATCTTGGTAAGGGATGAAACCCTAGACCAGTGGTTCTCAACCTTCCTAATGCCGTGCCCCTTTAATACAGTTCCTCATGTTGTGGTGATCCCCAATTTCATTGTTACAAATTGAACATAATTAAAGCATAGTGATTAATCACAAAAACAATATGTAATTATATATGTGTTTTCCGATGGTCTTAGGCGACCCCTGTGAAAGGGTCGTTCGACCCCCAAAGGGGTCGCGACCCACAGGTTGAGAACCACTGCCCTAGACAGTTGTTATTAATATGGAGTGGAGAAAGCATCCGTTTGTAAACTGCTATAAAAACACAATGAATTCATGTAATAATGTCATTCTTTTAAAGAAATTGCTAAACTTTTTTAACAGATAAATTCATGTCATGGAGTAATAGTTCATAAAACCTGAGAAACGGTGCCAACAGAATTCTTAAATATTCCATAAACTGGGAAGAAAATGCATGTAGGTATAGGAAAGCCTGACCCTCACCCTGTGGACTCAGTGAACCGGTCCAGCTGCCAGGGTGGTGTTACTGCCCCGGGCCGGTCACAGGTGCAGAGATGGCACACGTCGTCGGGAAGTGTCACAGCCACTGGCCTTTAGCGAACAGGAGAGGACGTCGATGCTTTAAACGTGTGCCTGGCATTAGGGCTAACAATCTGGGCATCCCCTGGAGGTGTGCCAGGCACATGGGCATCTGTCACGTGGGATGAGATAAAACAGCGGTTGAAGAACACTGGGTCAGAGGACCAGGGTTCTGACCTGACGCACAGGCTCGTATCTGATGTTCCTAAGGAGAACCCAGGCTTGACGACCACCCAGGTAGCTCCTTTCTTCCCTGGCCCAACCCCCAACTCAGTGGTTCTTTCAGAAAGTGTGCATTTTAAGAAAAGTGTCTTGTTTTCTACAGTGACGGCCAGAAAGTGATTCTTTCCCTCTGGCCCACTAATTCCACTCCTAAGACCTCTCCTTAAGGGAGCACTTCAGCACATGGCCAGGTGATGTTGCAAAGTGCTAGTCCTTGGCAAGGTGAACTACAGGAGCCCCCTGCTCCCATGCACACAGGCCCACACAAGCAAGCAGGAGCCATCTGAATGTCTGAGCTGGAATGGTTTGATCCATTGTAGCGCTTTCACAAAGGAATCAGTGGTGAATGTAAGCATTATTATGAGAGTGGAGTGTCGGTGGTGACACTGCCTAGGGTTAGGATCCACTGTTCACGACTGTGGGAAGTTGTCCTGCCTGCAGCTCTGTGACACCAGGTGTGCACATGGCTGGCATCTTCAGGACTGAAGTCATTGTGCTGGGCTGGGGTTTAAAAAGTCCATTCTCTCTGTGATGTTCTTTCCATATAACATGGAAGAGAAAAGCATGTGGGCCTGTGTGGGTCTTCAGTCTGTACCGAGCAGCACGGGGACTAGAGGCCAGCGCTGAGCCGGGTGCTTCCTCTCTTCCAGGCGCTCCCGTATGTCGCCCTCCTCATAGCCATGCTGTTCTTCATCTACGCGGTCATCGGCATGCAGGTGAGCTCAGGGCCCCGTTCGCTCGGTAGTCCCAGATCTGGGCCAAGATGCACCTTCACCAGGTGGAATGGAAAACCAACACGACTGCTGCTTAAGAGAAAGATGTGGCTCTAAAGGAAGGAGCCTGTTACAGAGAGCCAGGCTCAGAAGAGCAAGGAGGGGTTGGACTAAGCCAAGAAAAGCTGGGTTTGGTGGTTCCGCTCACCTCCACTCTGAGTCTTGGGAGAGTCAACTGATCAAGAAAATCCATAGTTGATTTTAGCAGCAGGAAATGCCAGACTCAGAGAAGCCAAATTGTCCTTTTTTCTGCACCTGACCTGGGACCCCTGTCTTGCCTCAGTAGCACCCGGAGAAGAAGTATGAGACCCAGTCTTCTGTGACCCGGCTGGGGGGCTACAGGCTACTGGCCAACTCCTCCCGGGGTGGGGAACAGGACGGGGGCTTCATCACAGCAGCCCTGACCCGAAGCTGCAGTGGGCAGAGCCTCCAGGAGGAGGGGGAGGTGGGGAGACCCCAGTGGAGCCAAACCTTCCTGGGTGGTGTCTGCCACATTCTCTGTGGGTTCGGTAGATGCCCTCTTCCAGATAAGGGAGGGGTGCAATGTAAAGAGGTGGCGTGATTCCAGAGGAGAGAAGGGGTCATGCTTATTTCTTCTATTCCGAAGGCAGAGAAGGATTCACAAGTCGCTAGGAATCCTAGCAGGCATTAGGAACCAAGCGTCACACGCTAGGGTCCCTGTCATTCAACAGCATGTGTGCTGTGTGCCCCGAAAGGTCCTCTATGGCAGGACGTGCTCACCCTAGCCCAGAGCTGTCTCAGAGAGCTGGGAACTGCATGCACGTACCATGCGGGAGGCTTAGCCTGCGCCACGCTCTCCTCAAATGTCAGTCTGCTTCTCTGAGTCCCACACGTATTTCCTAACTTCCCCTGACCAGGGCGGGAAAGCCCACCCTGCCCTCCGTGGCCGACGGCCCCACGCTTGTCTGCAGCCTGACCTTTGTGCACACTCGTTCTCTTAATTTCCTGGCGCACCTCCGAGGCCTTAGTTCTGGGCCTTCGTCTCACTCCCGGGAGCCTCCCTGACCCAAGGCCCCGCCTGAGCTTTGCGGACCTCTCTGTGCCCCCCTGTGCAGCTGGCCCACCAGCTCTCATCCGAGGGCTGCTGCCTGGTGCTTGCTGTCCTGTCCGTCCTCCATGGTCAGAACTCCTTGAGGGGAGAATGTATCTGCCGCCACGTGTTCCTGTGGTCAGCACAGTGCCCAGCACATCTATGTGAATAAATGAAGTGCCCGGCACGTGGGAAAGCCCTGTGGGTGTGGATCGAATTTGAGTTAGTTCTAAATTCAGAAAGGGAGAGTTTCTTTTTTTTAAATGACAGAATCTATTCTTTTTTTTCCCCTAATAATTTCTCCACCTAGATGTTTGGGAAAGTTGCCATGAGAGACAACAACCAGATCAACAGGAACAACAATTTCCAGACCTTTCCCCAGGCGGTGCTGCTGCTCTTCAGGTGACGGAGCCCTGCACGGGGCGTGGCCCTAGCTGTGGGCTGCAGAGTGACAGAGGACATGAGTTACTCCCTTCCCAGTTGGTCCCGGTGGCTTTCTGTGCTTGTTTGTTTTGTGTTCTTAAGCAGAGACAATAACCGCTCAGCCACAGGGGAGAAGGGAGTGTTGCTGGCTTGTAGAAACTGCTGTGTTCATTTCGACTGTGGTGGTTTAAGGTTTATCCCTCTGGGAGTTAGTGGGGCCACCAGGGACCTGGAAGGAGATGAGCGTACGCATGGGAGCACCCACTGAAACACAACCAGGAAGACAGGGGCAGGGGTTTTGCAGGAGCACAGAAGCCTTTTGCACAGCCAGTGGGGGCACATCTTAAGATGTGGAATTTGAAATTTTACAGGGTAACCCCAGTTAATTAACTCTGCAAACAAGGGTGCCTCAAAGTGAGAGAACTTTCTAGAAATTATACAAGTAATTAATAAGGACTCCGTGGCCAGATAGCAAGCCATTTGCAAGTTAGGCAGTTTCCAGTCCTTGGCTTTCAACAAGGTGAACGGGGTCTTATCAAGTTGTCAGATGTTAAGTCATTAATAGAGAATAATCGATAAAAACTTTAACATAAGGGTTTAGAGAAGAGAAGGCACAAAACCAAACATCTAATTTTACAAAAAGAATTGATGTGCTCGTATCGATTGATATGAATCAAAGGAAGTTATAGCAGCGCCTCCACTTATACTGAAATAAATTGCATTGGAAAATAAATAGGAATTTCATATCTTCACTAATTCACACTGGCTTGTCGACAAATTCCTTAGGTGTTGCTGCAATGAGAAACTTGTGGGGTTTTTTTCTTAAAATGTTGTAGAGATCTGAGCCTCAAATCCTTCTACGTTTACTAATAACCCTTCCTTTGCTCACTCTGAAAAAGGTGTGCGACCGGCGAGGCCTGGCAGGAGATCATGCTGGCCTGCCTCCCGGGGAAGCTCTGTGACCCCGAGTCGGATTACAACCCCGGGGAGGAGTACTCCTGTGGGAGCAACTTCGCCATCGTGTACTTCATCAGCTTTTACATGCTCTGCGCCTTTCTGGTACGTGAGCAGAAGGGCTCCACTCTGAATCGGCAGGTGTGGTGTAGCATTTGGAATTCAGACCAGGGACGTTGCCCCGCCCACCTGCTGGGGGTATTCTGTGCTGATGAGCAGCTCCCTCCACTTGGCAGGCTTGGCCGGTTTTTGTTTTAATTGTCAGTGGTAAGCACCTTCCTTGTGAGCAGGGCCTCGAGGCTTTGTCACGGGCTTGGGCAGTCCCACTGCTTGGGACTGCTGGTTTCTTTATAAAAATGTCGCAGCCCGTGCACAGAGCAGTGACTTAAGAGTGTGAGTTATTTGGTAGCAGTGAAATGATAACACTGTGGTGTGCCTCAAAGATCCAGATAATTCATCCCCCTGCCCTCCCCTGGGACTATACCAAAGCCACCTCGGGAAGCCAGAAGTCTGCTTCCTCGTTAACCGTTCTCCGGGCGGGGTTTCTACAGCCTCTCTGGGGAAATGGGTTCACGGGTTCCGTGCCCCTATACTGAGGAAGCACCCACCGGGGTCGGCCCAGTTCACGACTGCCGCTGAGGCTCCTCCCTCTGATTTGCTTTCACAGATCATCAACCTGTTTGTGGCCGTCATCATGGATAACTTTGATTATCTGACCCGGGACTGGTCTATTCTGGGACCTCACCATTTAGATGAATTCAAAAGAATATGGTCAGAATATGACCCCGAGGCCAAGTAGGTTGGGAAGGATGCCCTGGCTGTTTGTGGGGGCTGTTTCTGGAACGGGGCTGTGGTTCGGGGAGGTGGGATGGACTGAAAGCTCAGCGCTGCTGCCTGGACCTCACGCTCCGCTTTGTCTCAGGGGGAGGATCAAGCACCTGGACGTGGTCACCCTGCTGCGCCGCATCCAGCCGCCCCTGGGGTTCGGGAAGCTGTGCCCACACAGAGTAGCCTGTAAGGTGAGTGTCCCCTTGGGTGTCTGATGGCCTCTCTTGCAGAGACACCCTGGTTCATTCAAAAACCAGTGACCTTCCCTCACACCTGCTGTCAGGCGCCCAGGAGGTGGAGACGAATGACACGTGGTTCCCATCCTTGAGGCACTCCCAGGAGTGTCACTCGTGGGACACCCTGTCAGCCAACGATAGGAATAGGAGGGCAATTATGTCATTCGTCATTGGGTGAGGGCAGGGGACAGTGGCCTTTGCGTCAGGCACCGGAGGAGAGACGTGGGGGTTTGTCAGAGATGGAAGGAGCACAGAGAACTCTGACGCAGAGGCAGAAAATGGGGCGTCATTGGTACGACTGGAACAGAAGAGGAAGTGGTGGAAGAGCACAGGCGCACCCGGCGTGGCTGTGAGGAACCTTCCAGGCCATGCTGAGTTCCAGGGAAGAAGCACGGGTGGACTTCTGTGTTAGAGGGAGAAGTAAATGGGGGCAGGGGACACCCGGGAGAGCTGTGGGGACTGGGTGTGAAGTGACAAGAGCCAGAGTGAGGGCAGTGGGAGGGGAGAGAGAGGAGGTGGCTGAGGGCTCCACTGAGGAAGTAGAGTGGAGAAGACCGGGTCCCCGGGCATTGCTAGCCTCTGTGCTGGTGGACGCGGCACTGTGCCCCCTGCGCCGGTGCTCCTCTCCTGAGCACAGGCGATGGCCAGGCATGGCTGCGTGCAGACCTCCCGATCCATTTCTGCAGCTCTCACCTCAGACCCTGCTCCCTGGGAGCCCTGGCTGAGCTCACAGTGACTCACCTGGAGTCGGCTGCAGCAACAGAAAAGAAGTCCCTTTCTAAAAACTCTACCCTGTGGGAACCCGGCCAGCCTGCACTCCAGGGTTGCTGGGCCAGTTCTAGACAGACCCAAGGTAGCAGAGTTGAGTCTACTGTGTATTTCCAGCTTTCAGAGATTTTCCCAGCCACACCCACTGTTCCCTGCCCCGAAGCACCGAACGCTTGCAGAAACCATGTGGACTCCACAAGGGTCGCCCCAGGGCAGGTCCTTAAAGGACACTCTCTGTGTCAGGAATAGTCACGTAGCCCTGCTGTAGTTGTTGGAGGACCCGAGTCCCCTGCCCTGTGCCTGGCTCATTGTACCTGGTACCACATTTTACCCTCACGACAGCCTGAAGGATGGTGCCCAGAATGGAGGCCTGACCACAGGACACAGGGAGAGCTGGTTTTTGAGAAAGGGAGAAAAACGCTGGGACAGTGGGATGATTAAACAATCAAGGTGAAACACCAAGAGCATCCCACGGACCAGCATTTGTGTTTCATGACTAAAAGCTTTGATCTTTGTCGTGTCAGAGCCCCAGGTGGTAGGTGCTCCTCAAATGGCCGGTGAGTTAAATTTTTAGGGTCGACTGGAAAAGAGATGAGGGAGAAACAGAGTAACTACGGGAAAGGGCTGCGGCTGCCATCAGTCCTTCGCATGCTGGTAAGAAGCTTCTCTTTCTGTTTGCAGAGACTAGTTGCCATGAACATGCCTCTCAACAGTGATGGGACCGTCATGTTTAATGCAACCCTGTTTGCTTTGGTCCGCACAGCTCTTAAGATCAAGACGGAAGGTGAGCATCCCCTGGGAGCAGGTCAGGGGGCAGAACTGGGAGGAGATGCCACCTCCCGCCTGTGTTCTCCCTTCTGGGCCTTTCCTTGTCGAGGGGGGGCCCTGGGAAGGGCGTGGTGAGTGCAGTGAGAACTTTGTGCTGGCGGATGCACTGTTCCCACCTCCCTCATCCCTCCTTTCCTTCCTTTATGCTTCACTTTGTCCCTGGGAGTTTTGAGGCGACTCATGCCACTGCTTACTAGAGAGCGGCAATAGGTGGGAGATCAGGGCAGAGTCGGCACCGTCACCCCTGAGCTCCCTCCAACTGACCCTTCCTGCTTGTGTGACCTTTGTGAGGGGTTTTCCTGTTCTGAGCTGTAGGTTGTTTCTCTGTGGGAAGGAAAGGAACACACCTACATCAGGGGAAGTCCTGGGGATAAGGTGAGATGATGCCTGCAGAAGCCCCTCTGCAGTGCTGGCCCGTGGTGGGAAACACTTACGACCAGCGTCTTCCCAGCTGAGACCAAAGCACAGGGGTCTTCGGGGCCACGCTCAGCCCTGGTAGAATACGCCTGGAGCGTGGCCATTGCGGTTGTCTCAGTGGCAGCTTCAGAGGTGGCATGGAAAGCAATTACAGCAGGAGGAGGGGTGACCATGAGGTGGAGAAGCAGAGACTATGAGGGAGGAGGGGGAAGAGGGGCCAGCGGTGGACACTGCGGAGTCCATGGGCAGCTGTTTTCCCGCAGGCCCGGAGCTCAGGGTGACTCTATCCAGCAAAGCCAGTCCCCGAAAGCTCACGGACTCCTTGCAGTGGGCTCCCCTGCCCCTGGCCCCCACCTGCATCAGCGAGGGATGCAGGAGGCGGGATGGCCTTCTGCACTGACATGTCCGTTGAGGAGACAAACATCAGCACATCTGATAAGACCAAGATGATGCGGGTGCTACAGATGAGTCCACACAATGGGAACTGAAAGTCTTATGTGGGTGGAATTTAGTCTGGGTCTTCAAGGATAGAGGCAGGATTCGGCATTCTAGGCTGGGAGCAGCGGGAAAGGTGTAGGTGTGGGCTTGGGAAGGTAGAACATGGATTCCAGAGTAAAACGTGGTCCTTCCCACGGTGGAGTGACTGCAGCTGTTAGGTAGTGTGAATGCCCCTGACCGGGGAGCCTGCGGGGAGGGGCACCCATCAGAGGGCCGTGCCGCCACCCGAGGGCCATGCTCCTACCCAGGTCAGCTGGGGGGGCGGGGGGGGGGGAGGAGCATGGTCCCAGCAGAGGGATTGCTGGCCAAGAAGCAAGGCTTGTTTTCTCCTCTTGCTCTTTGCATCCAGGGAACCTGGAACAAGCTAACGAAGAGCTGCGAGCTGTGATAAAGAAAATCTGGAAGAAAACCAGCATGAAGCTGCTTGACCAAGTGGTCCCTCCAGCTGGTGGTCAGTGCAATCTCTTTCCTAAGTAGCTCTTGGCCAGCACATGGGTTTCAGTGGTCGTGTCTGCCGCCAGCCCGGCTGCGGGTTGCTTTATGCATCAGCTAGGTCACTGAGGCCAAGCGCTAAAGAAGGCCGCCGGCCCTCTGGCGTAGTTACTTGGGGTCATATGAGCAACATTCCCAAGGAGAGGCCTCAGCGGGAGGGGAACCAGACCAGGTGGCTGGAGCTGGGCTTTTCTGCTGGTGGGGGAATTAATGTTAGAGAGCAAGCCTGCTGCCTCAAAAGGAAAAGTCTAGATTTTTGGGGTCCAAAATGAAATCTTTAAAGATAGTTTCCATGTATCCTTTAACATATTGTTGAAAGCTTCTCACAAAAAATTGATAGCTGTCAGAAAATGGTATTTTCAAAATGCCCTTGTCAAGACTGAGTTTACTACCATAACTAGCCAAAAAAGGTCCCTATCATTAGAATTTAAGTAGGGACAGAACTAACAGGCATGCTTTTTTCTTTCGTTATTTATCAAGAAATAACCGACTAAACTTTTTTCAGATTTATATATGTAAAGTCATACATATATAAAGTATGTATATAATTTATACACTGTTTTTCCACTTTCGTTTAAGTGCACATGGAATTAGAAGTTGAGGTGGTTGTTTTTCGACTTTTATTTTCACGTTTTAAAGGTGCAGGATCCGTTCAGGTCTGGACACTGACTCCAGAACCCCGGGCCAGGATGGTGGCCAATACCTCCCCCTCTGAGAGGGTGACAACCTCTGGCTCTTGGGGAGAGAGAGCATTGTGCTGGCCCGCCCTGGTCCTCGGCACGAAATGAGAAGCAGGATGAGCTGTTGTCACTGCAGGGGACACCCATAGCTAGCATGGTCATGGCTCGAAGCCGGGGAAGATGGCCCACAAAGAAACAATAAAGGGGCAGCAAAAAGGCCCCCCAGACCAAAAAGAACAAAACCCTCAAACTCTCTGCCCCCCCACTTCCCCCGAGAACTGGTCCTGCACATTTGCCCGCGGGAGAACTGTTACTGTTGTCCACAGAACTGATGCTGCACATTTAAAACAACTCTTCCGTTTCCTTCTTTTCTTTAGAGCTGCACACCCAAGTGCCCGCATGGCTGAGGTTAATCGCTTTATTAAAAATTGTCGTAACAATGTGCTTGAGCTTTTTCTGCAGCCTCCATTCCTTTCAACGCTCAGTCTTTCAGAATATTCTGAAGCAATTCTGTTTTAGGGTGGTGGCATGGAATCAGAGTTATCTCTTGCCAGCTGTATTCCCCTACAGTGTTTCTCGAAATACAGATGCATGCTTCAGAATAGCGGTCTGGGCTGGCTGAGTAAACCTTCCCCTGAAACACCACCTTCATTACAAACTAGTCTCACGCACACGTCAGGGCCCATCCTGGCTAGACCCCCTTGGACAGCATCCCGTGAAACTTCGTTTCTTTTCATGTGACTAGAAAAAAGTCCAGAATTTGGCTCAGGATCTAAGCTCCCTTCCTTTGAAAAAACTGACCAGCTTTTAGTTCTACTAGACGTCTACTAAAAGCTACATATTCTCCCGCATTCTTGGCCCAATGATGGGCCTTGGCTTTTTCTCTGTATCTCTTTAAATGGAGTGGGTGTTAATCTATTTCAAAATGGCATTAGGTGGCACTGTGAAACCGGAAAGTAGAAAAGAGGGCTTCAGGAGGAAATGGGTCCTCCAGAAGTCCCGTGTCATGACTTATGTATGTGCTGGGATCATGTTGTCGGGCTGAGTCTCAGATAAGCGCTGCTGCCACTGCAGAAGGTGGAAAGGCCTGGGTTTCTGGCTGCGGTGAGCAGACCCTGAGTGAGGTGCTGGGCAGCATTCTAATTCTGTCTCTTTGTTTTTGAGTCTTTCCCATGCCACTCGGTCAGTGGTTCCCGCCTTTCCCTCGCCATGGCACACTTAGAAAGCGAGAATATTCGTTCAGCCCTCCAGGCCAGCAAGTGGGTAGCTCCCATGGCTGAGGGGCTCGGTGTCCCTGCTGTAACCTCACAGAGAGCAGCAAACTAAGCCAGGCCAGCTGTCCCTGCGCCGGGACTGGCCGATGTGGGGTGGTCAGAGAGGCCCTTACAGACCTGGTGACATCAGGTGCCCATCTCTGGAGGAGTTGCTGGCACAGTGAGGTGCCCCAGGTTGGCATGAGCTTGATAGGAAGGGGCCACTCAGGACGGAGCCCTGGAATACCAGCTGGGAACTTTTCTGTGCAGGAGGCTGTGGCTGGGGAGGCAGCCTGTCTGCTGTCTCCGTCATAAGGCTGACGTCTCATTGCCCATCACTGACCCTTGCTCACGTTCTCCCCTCCACTCTTGTCACACATTTCATGGGTCCTCCCCTCCAAGAGGCTCTCCTTGCTTTGGGCCTTCGCTCCTTGACCTGGCTCTTTGGCCCCTTTTCCCTAAAGAGCACTCAGAGCCGGCCCCACCCCTTTCTCTCTAGTCCTGAGCCCAGACACCCTTCCTGCATTCTTTCCTTCCCTTCCTGTCCTGCTAGGGCCAGAGGTGGGGAATGGCCGGCCCCGGGCCATATAAGGCCCGTGAAATCAGTTGCTCTGGCCCTGCGTTAGGGGTGAGTTAGTTAAATGTTTGACCAAATATGGCAGGCTAATTTTTAAGCTGATAATTCGTATGGCCTGCGAATGATGCTATAAATATCCAAATGGCCCTCGGCAGAAGAAAGGTTCCCCACCCTGTGCTATGGCTTTCACTCTCCTGTTTTTAAGAGCTCTTCCTGGGCTCAGTCTCAGTTAGCTCAGCGTCTCAGTGGAGCAGACCACGTGGCCCTTGCACCCTGCCCTGCAGAGCCCTGGGTGGCTGTGCTCTGCTCCATGTGGCCCCTCAGGGAGAAACACGTCAGCTTTTCCCCGAGGACACTGTGGCCTGGCTCCAGGCCAGGGAAAGCCCAGACCCCCCTGCAGGAGCCCCTGGGCCCTCCAGGCTCGCATAGTCCAGGCTGAAGGGAGATGAGGGTAGGCCTGTGTGTGCTGGGCCATCCCGCTGTGGAAGGAGGTGGTCTTCTGTGGAGAGAGAGGCATTTTCCTGCAAGTCCCCAGAGAAGGCTTGGGAGTCGACTGAGAGGCCGCTGTGGTGCAGCAGGCAGAGAATCCCCCGGGGCCCCAGGGATCTCTATGCAGTCAGCAGTCGGTTCCCCTCCAGATTGCAGCCCCGTAGCGAGAGAGACTTGTACTCTGGGAAAGGCTGCCCCACAGAAGAAGGTGGCCTGTGTGGCTGGAGCTAGGCCATCGCTCAGGGAGGTGGTGCAGAGGAGGAGGAGAGCTGGCTTGGCACTCATGTCCCAACCTGACTGGCCTGGGCCAAGTCCTTCAACCTTCTCAGCTGTCAGCGCGGGGAAGCAGATCCACTATCTCAGAGTTGTGGTTGAAGAGTCCGGGCAACCCGAGTGGAGCTCCCTGACTCAGGGCTTGGTACCTGTAGGTGCCCAATAGGAGGGGTGGCTGGAACTGGTGTCCAAACAGCCCCGGGCAAAACAGAGAGCAGCTCAAGGGCAAAGGTTGAAATGTGAAGACCCGCATGGTCTCTCTTCACCTCTCGCCTCCTTGCCCGCGAGGGCATCACTAGACCAGCCTGAGACAGGTGAGGGACCACGGTTTCACATGCTGCACAAGCCTGGGTTCACGTTGGTGGCCCCTGCACCCTTCCAGACCTGCCCAGCTTGGGTTTGGAAGGAATGCAACACGTTCTCGAAGTCCAACCACTCCAAGCATCTTCTCTCACAGTAACACTGAGTCGCTCTTGACCAGGAAGTTTGGAGAGGCAGCCCTGGATGGCCCAGCAGTGTCCAGACAGAGACATCTCCCACATGGGCGCTAAACGAACCCCAGCCAGGGTGCGTTAGGGAACACAGTGGGCCTCAGTGTCCCCCCACCTGTGTGCTCTACAATCTATTGCAGTGGATCTCACTGTTGGGGGGTGTAAGATGATAGTGATTCTCGTGGCTCAGTCATCCAGCCCCCAGAATGAGGGCCACCCAAGCAGGGGGCTGCGTACTTCACATGCCTCTCCTCCTGTGGTCCTCACAGATCCTCTCAGAGACATAGCTCCTTTTATACATAGAGGTTGAACTCCTTGCCCCAGATCACATGAAACTCTTACAAGGGCAGCCTGGCCAAAGGTTTAGCTGTGCTAAAGCCTGAGCGCTAGCAACCATTCCACCCCCAGCCTCTGCAAATCATGGTCAGCGGTCCGTGCCCACAGGAGCCTTGGGCACACCGCAACCTGGGGGAGCAGGGCTTGTGGAGATCCTGGGGCACACGCACACTGCCAAGGTGGTTTACCCGAGACAGCCAGAGCCTCTATTCTGCCTCATGCATCACCTATAAAATGCTCAGCAGAGTTCCAGTTGTTTCTGAACAAAGCAGAAGTAAGTCAGCTCCACCATGAGGTTAGTTGGCGCTGTCACTTACAGCACCTCCCACCCACCCCCCCAAAAAAACCACGCATACACACACACCACAACTAGTTCTGAATTACAGACCAAGAAATGGCATATGGAGGCTATTGGCAGAGTCAAGGGGCACATGAAAATCTGGGTTTGCAGTCACTTTAATGAACCTTCCTCTTCTTCTGAGCTTGTCTGTCCCCTTTCTGAGGTCTCTGTCTTTATCTCCAGGCATCGGGATTTGAATGGTTAATTGCCCTTGGAGTTCATGGTAATTACACATGCAAATCCCTGTGCACAGGGGTGAAAATATGACCTAGGAAAGACTTTTTTGTTGTGTAATTTTTATTTTAAGTAAATAACCAACACAGCACTTGATAATGTTACTAATACGCTGCTCTATTAAACTCATGACCAATGTTATTTTCTGCAATTTTGAGTGTCAGTTTATCTAACTGACTCTAACTTTGAGCCTTAACTGCTTTGCCGAACCCTGCTTTTTGCTAGAGCTAGTCTCCCTCCTGTGTTATAAGCCGAGAGCTCAGTGCCTCTGCGCTGTCCCCCGCCCCACCCAGAAGCCAGTGTGTAGGCTCTTGGTGCAAATGTGCTGATTCGGGAGAGCTGTGTCTGGTCTCTCCGTTTAGATGATGAGGTAACCGTGGGGAAGTTCTATGCCACTTTCCTGATACAGGACTACTTTAGGAAATTCAAGAAACGGAAAGAACAAGGACTGGTGGGAAAATACCCTGCGAAGAACACCACAATTGCCCTACAGGTGAATTGTTGTTTTGTTGTCTTATCTTTTCACTAACCACTGTACGAGCTTATTTGAAATATTAGAGAGCTGGCAGTTCATGGTTGAGCAGTACCACAAGGATTTGTTTAAACTGAGATACTGCACACACACTAAAATGTGGACTAGCCATTTCTGGGCCACCAGGTAAGTGCCTCCCTCTCCTTGCTTTCTCTGGTGACGGCTGCGGCCTGTGGCACAGGAACCCCAGGACAGCCCTGGGAGAGGGGAGCGAGCACTACCCTTGCGCCTCTCTCCTCCAGGCTTCTCCCAAGGCAGTGCCCTCCCAGCAGGCACCCACCACCCACCCCAAGCCCTGGGCTCCAGCCCTGGCTGCCCAGGAAACAGCTTTCCATCTGAACGCAAGTGCTTTGTTTTGTTTCTGTTTGTTTCTTACCCCACTGCTTGTTGGTTTTTGGTCCATTTCAGTAACATCCATCACCTCCTGGTGTGTGTGTGTGTGTGTGTGCGCGTGTGCATATGCATTTGTGCGTGTGTGTACATGTGTGTGTACGCCTGCGGTGTGTCTGTTTCTCTGTGTTGTCTCTTGATGGCCGTGAGGCTTGCTGTGCAAATGCTGCTCTCTCCCACCTGGCCAGCCTCTGGTCCCTACCCCTAAGCCATGGCCCCGCCCCGGGCTCCTAGAGTGTGGAGGTGGCTTTCAGGAACCTCTGGTTCCAACCAGGGTGCGAGGATACGGAATCCTAGGTGAGCCCAGAGCTCTGGGATGGGAAGCAGGAGTGCAGGCGAAGGGAGTCCCAGTGTAGACCCGCACACAGGGGCCAGGAAGGGGACTTCGTGAGTGCTGGTGGTGAAGGATGCAGGGTGAAGAGGGGAAGAGAAAAAGATGCTAAGAACTGGAAAAAGGAAACTAGAGAGGTTGGCGAGTTGTCAGAAACAGCTGTTTAAATTAATCGAAAGCCCTGTCATCTCTGCTACCCACAAGTGCTTTGAGTCCATCGAGAATAGGATAAAGGATTTTTCCCTTTTTAGTTTACTCTAAAATTACTTTTCTGTCCCTGTTATCACCACGTCTTAAATTGGGCCTAACAGTTATGGGTAAGGATCAATGTGAAATAATCCTGCACTTTTTTTTTCCCTGGGGAAAAATGCCCAGTATTGACTGTTTTGTGTTCACAGTGATGGTCAGTACTGAAGCGAAGGCTTGTGTGTGATCTCTCTGAGCAAGGGAATATGAACATGAATGATGATGAAAGAATGAATGAAGGAATGAGGGGTGCATTTACATATGTTGGGTTAGTAGATGACCTTATGTGACCGTGACCTACTGATTTGTGATAAAAACCTCTGCTCTACCCAGACAGCTGCAGGGTTGGAGGGAGGGGGGGATCAGCTGAATCCAACTGTAGGCTTCTGATCTTCCTTTCTCTGATCACATCTCCTAAAGGTAGCTCGGTGGACCACAGGCTCAGGCAGGTGGCTCATTGCTGTGTCAGGTTGTAGACTTGGTGAGCAAAGCGCTTTCACCTCTGGCTGATCCAGTTTGCAAAGGCGACAGCCCTTCGATCACAGTTCCTACGGGGCCTTAGACGAAGCAAACTGAAAAGTGTCCCTTTGACCAGGTCTCGGGCCCACACGTTCTTGAGGGCAGTGTGGCCAAGTTGGATGCAAAGAGAGGGGGTGACGAACATGTTTTTGATGGCTCTTCCTGAATGGAGCCTTGGGCCTGGAGGGTGAGGCCAGCCCGGTGTCAGAGTGCCCCGGTGCCCTCTGCTCGCGGGACCTGCTTGGTGTGCTCAGGGTCTAGTTGGTGGGGTCGATGGAGTTCAATGACTTTTCTGGAGGGGGAAATGTACTCTTTCATGGATAGCTGTGTCGTAATTTACATTAATCAGGTTAGCTCTGTGTTATGAGGCCCCTCTATTTATTTTCTGAGGAAGGCATGGGAGATGACCACCTTGATACAGAGTTATACCTTTGAGTCCCCAAAACTTCCCAATTAGATGGCTTCAGGGCTTGCTCTGGTGCCTGGATATAGTCTTTTGATATTTTAAAACCTAAAAAGAACACATAGCTAAACAATTTTCACATTTCACAAATGGGCTCCACGGAGTCTTCAAGTTGAAGGTTCAAATGATGTTAAAGCTGCCTTTTTAAATCATGGGTTAAAAGACTCTATTACATGGTACTACAGTAATGCTGAGGTGTGTTTTTCCCCCCTCCTAAACATTTATCATTTTGTTGTGTATGGAAAGAGTTTCATTTCCTTGGTGAAATGCAAATATTTCCAGTTAGGTGGTAATATCAACACATTTCACACGGTTCCGGTGGGAGTTGATGTTGAGTTCACAGCCTAGAAAATTAAGTTGTGTTCATAACCTCGACAGATAAATTCTGAAAATGCATTTGGTTCTGAAGCAAACATCAAAAGTGGAAAAATTTTGTCTCCTTGGAGGACAATCCTAATTACATTTTTGGCTTCCTCTGCTCTAAAAATGGCTTTCGATGTGATTTGTCGCTCTACTTTTAATCAGCCGTAGGAGGCCCTTCCTTCCGGCATGACGAAGGGTAGGTGATGGTGTCGCAGTTAGGGAAACGTGGTCCAGTGGCAATGGGAGAACCGCACCAACAGTGTCACTAGGACGAGCACACAGGTCCTCCAGGAAGCATCGGAAGGGGGCATGGCATATTGAGAGGTGGGGTGGCTTGCCTCTCCCTGTGCCAGGGCGCCACACGGCTGACCGATTGCTAGTGGCAGTGGAGTGTGGGCATAGGCATGTGCGTGCTTGTACTGCGTCGAGTGCCGTCTGTCTGAAGAGCCTCAGAACTGGTCCATGTTCTGAGCCCCTCCCCCATGGGACGGTTTTCAAGGACACACAGAGGCACTATGGTCTCCAGCCCTGTGGGCTCCATCTGGGCTCCCCGTGTTCAGACCAACGGCAGTGTCCCCGTCTTCACGAAGAGGAATGGCTTGAGGAGCTCCTGCGTCCACGTGTGGGCAGGAGCTCAGCCCCCGGTGTCCTCTGGCCTCTGTGGTCTGAATGAGTGTGCAGTTTCCATCTGTCCATCCATCATCATCATCACGAAAGCCAGCCTTCTCTCCAGCACCTCTCCAGAGGGAGCTGGAGAGAAGCCGCCTCAGGCCTTTTGCGTTCTCACTCATCCCCTCCATGCCACGCTCACTTTAGTTTGACTCAGCATTTGCTCTTCATCCATCGTTGCCGCATCCAAGGGACCTGCATGTTTCCACGAGGAGCAAGTAAATAAAGGAACAGAGCTCTGCGGCTGTGAAAAATGTGCCCCCTCCCAGCAACTAGTAGCGCCCTATCAGACCTTCCAGATGAGGGTCCTGGACACACATTTGTCCAGTGTCTTGTGGAAAGGGGAAAAAAAGACCCCAAAGTGGGAAACGTTTTGTTCATTTCCTTTTCTTTCAACATTCAAGCATTTCCTTTATGCAAAAGACGCTCTGGTGCAGTCTGAGGAGAGACCGTCCCTGGCTCATTGTAATGACAGGAGGACTGTAGGGGGATAGTCTTTTCTTTGTTTTTAACCCGTTGGGCTTGAGAAGGAGACCAGTATTTCCAGCTGGTAAAGAGTCTGGTACTCAGGTATTAGAATGTTGGAGTCTGTACCCCAAGCCAACAGATGGTGACGTGGAAAGGTGGGGGGTACAAAAGAAGCAATGCGCTTCTCCCCTGATGGGCCTTGATCCGGCTTCTGCGGGAGGCTCGGCACATCCACACAGAGGAAAGTGGGATGTGCAGCAGACGTGTCGTCTGTGGAGTACAGACTCCTGTTTCTAAGTCACCATCGTCTAAAAAGTAGCAAGCTTTTTTGTTGTTTTTTTAAAAGCATGATTCCACCCAGAGCCGTAAGGCTTTTCTTTTCCTTTCTTTTTTAATCTGCAAGGAGAGCAGGTGCTAACAGATGGGATTTCACTGGCTGATTCATTTGTTTCAGATGCTTGAACGGATGCTTTAGAGTTTTCTGCCTGAGCTACAGCACCAAGCTCGTTAGTCGGAAGGCGTTGGTGGCTGAGGCCTTGCAAGGGAAAAGTCTCAAGTGGGCTTATTTCTACTGAAACCGCATTTCGGGAGAAATGCAGGAAAAAGCAAACCCAAGGCCCCAGGGAGACCCCTTCCAAGCAAAGCAGTCCTGCAGAAGGCGGAAGCAGGGCCGCGGCCAGCTGCGGAGCCATGGCCTCCTGTCGCGGACGCTGCTCACGGTGGCTCTTTTTCGTGGAAGGGAACATGCAAGGCTTAACCGGTTTCCCTTCCAAACAGAGACTCAGAGAAAGGGAACGAGGGAGAGAGCAAAAGAGGGGTCAGCCGCCCCACAGAGAAATGAAATGAACACAACTTCCTGATGCTGGCCAGTAAAAAAAAAAAAATTTTTTTCCAATAATAAAAAGATTAAGCAGACCTGCCTAAGGTGGGCAGCTGACTCCGTTCCAAAGTCCTGCATCCCTAGTTTGCCCGGACTCCCAAAGACTGGCAGGCCCCTGGGCGCTGAGCTGGCAGAGTTCCCTTTGTATGGCAGTCAGGCCTGACCTGACCGTCGGCCGCACACTCTGCAGTGACCCGGGCAGGACAGGAAGCTCAGACACACCCATTTAACTAACACATACACCCGCATGCCCAGACCAACCCAGGCAGCACCTCAGGTTCCATCTTAACGTGTCCACGGGAAGCACCACCACACCCCAACCTCATCCGACATTGTCCGTCTGTAGTCCGTGCTCAAAGCCAGTCCGGGGCTGCCTCTTTGGAAGCGGTGCGGTCTAGTTTCGAGGACACTGGGAGTCAGGGAACCTGGGCTCGAGTCCCAGCTCCAGCATTCGGTTGCTGCGTGACCTTGGGCAAGACACTTAACCTCTCTGTGCCTCAGTTTCCCCATCTGTAAAATGGGGATAACAATGTCGACCTACCTCACAGGGCTGTTGTGAGGAATAGCTAAGTGATTGTAAAGCACTTTGAACGTATAATTGCTTATTATTAAGACTACAACAATAATAATAT